GAAATTATCAGTTTATAAGCGGTAACTACATCTATCTAATATTGAAATGTAGTGAATTCATTAGTGAATTAAAACTATTAGTTAAGTTCATATAATAAAAATCTGACCAATCCTGATTAATGTCTCAACATGAGTGTTTCAGGCAATACCAGTAGTTTTCAGTATTGACTACTAGTCAGTATTGACTACTAGTCAGTAGTACAATTCAGTTGTAAATATAATTTCTTGTTTGTTTTCTTCACACGTGCGTATTGGATACTGGAGAGAATGTCAACATTTTAAAAAATACCGTAAAAGAATACAAATTTACCTTTACCAATGCGTATGGATAGTTTTTGTGTAGAATAGATTTCATCAAATTGAATGAGTCTGTGAGGTTGTTTCTGTAAAGCAAGTTGGTATTTTGGTCTTATTTGTAGGTACTACAATCAGTTCATTCAATATATTTGCTTCAGTACCAACAAGTCGGGATAAATGATGACAATCCAGTATTAAAGCCCTTTAATAAAAATGCAAAAATGGTAACGCTTTGAAATTAGTGAACAAAAAGATTAATATAGAACTTTGTTATTTCATCATAAGAAGCATGAGAAGTTTAGATGAGTTCAACGAAAGACTTACTTTTACGACTATAATTTACATCACATTAAGCATATATTCAATTTTGAAACCTCTTTGGTGGTCAGTGTGAAACATAAAATTTTTAATTAGAAATATTGATACAAGTGGATGTTTAAACACGCATCTATCTCAACCTGGTATATAGTTGCACCGTAACGATAAATAATTACTTTGATGGTTCAGAGATACATGAATTATTCAGTCTGATACCTTGTGGTCTATATCTATTAAGTTGCTACGGTAAATGATTACAAAATAAATAAGAGATACATTTCAAGAAATGTACTTGGATGTTCGCAACTAAAGTTAAACATTAGATTTTACGTAGGTTTATTTGTTGTATTCAATTCAAAACAAGATATTTTTAAATTACTCCTTATTTATTTATTTCCATAAACGTTATGATTCATCATAAATTCCGACAAAATACACTAAAGCAACATTAATTCAAAGTTCAATCCTTGAAGTAATAGTAGAGTAATAACTTGCTAATCTGTTCTCAAAAATCTAGTGTGGCGTAAACTGGAAATCTCCTGATCAGTGAAACTTGTGTTGCTTTTGACTTGGCTGCGATTGAAATTTTCTGGATGGGTACTCCGATAAAGAAATCCCTGGAATGCTTTGAGATTATTAAGTTACGTTATAAAAGTAATCAGTTGTACATCTTTCTGCTATATTGGGAAGTCGAGCTTATTTAGATAGACACACTAAAGGTATCCACTGTCTGCTCTTATTCACTCAGTTGACACATTTTAAGAATTCTGAAAGATATTTTCAAGCCTAACAGTTAGATTGATATTTTGTTTCATCTCAAGGAGATATTAATTGATACAGTGCATAACTTCTGATATCTACTAGAAAGCGATAAAATGTGTTAAACATTACTCTTCACTGGCTTTTATATTCACATTTAGAGAAACAGACAGTAGAAGCCGATTTTAGGACTATAATGATTGTCTTAAGAATAACATATTGATAAGTTATATTGTATTTCCAGCACAGTGAAGTGTTAGGATCCAGTGACAACCGCGTGTCATCTGTTAAAGAGCATTTGGCTGTGGGACAGGATTTCTGTTAGCTATCAACAATTCAGTGTTCCAATCCTGTAAAATTTCCTCTAGATTTGCTCATTTATTTAAGCTAACATTATTTTTCATTTTCAGTTAAGATTCAAATGACAGTATTTGACTTACCTAATTCCACAGAACAAAGCTTGTCGAACTGTTCTCAGAATATTTCTGGATGTAAGATTGTGAGCTGTTGATGAGTCCTTTTCTCCTTGAAACTTTGTGTTGAAGTACGTGACTTCTCTGGTTTCTGTCACGTGATCAGTGTTGCCAGATTGATTGTGGTTTTCATTAACCAGATAAGCACTTTGATATAATAGTGAGCTAGTGGATGCTGTAATGCATCTAAACTTATTTTACAAGATTCTACTGCTGTTGGGATGTGATTGTTGATTGGTCAAGTGTGTAAGAAGGCACATTGGGACGGACACACAATTCTCTATAGGTAGAGGATAGCAGTAGCCGGTAAAATCCTTCATTCGTTAGCAAACCTGTAAGGTAGTGTAAGTTTACTTCTAGAGAGTGAAAGTTGTTGTGACCAAAATTTAACTTTGGAGTATAGTATAAATGATGTTAATAAACGTTTTCTTCCAATAACCTAAGAGTTAATGAGCCATAAAATACTGAGATGTACGTTGGTTGTTTAGTGGACAGTAACTATTTTCTTATCATCTACTTCTGAGTGAATCGGTCAAGTATATTCTGAGGATGAGTATACCATCTTAATGTTCAGAATGCGAAACAATCCACAGACTTTAGTCATCACATGGGATTAGACAGCATGAAATTGGTTGCTCTCCAGTAGTCAACTAGTCTACCAAGTTTGCTTGTGCATTAGGTCAATCGTAGCCTCAATGGCTGAGTAGTAATGTATCTGATTGCATTGCTGACTGACATAAGTTAAAATCGCTCAGCAGATATCAGTTTTCTCAAAGTAGCAGATACATCTTTCTGACAAGTACCAACAAGTAGAAAACCAAGGTCCAGGCCTTCCCTCCGGTTACACCTAACCGTCTGACAACAATGAAAATACTGAAATATTCTCGTAAGTTTACGTCTGCGTTTTGAATTTGAAATGGAAAATTTTACTTATGGTAATAACTGGTGGTGAAACGCTTGTCAAAAAAGTACAAATGAACTTGCTCGTATTGTGTTCCCTGGGCTAGGTTGTTTAGTAATGTGCGAATAACATTTTACTCTAGAGTAATGCTTGAATATTTATGCATGGTAAAATTTATCCTTTACTCTCATTTCGTTTCGGGGTCCTGCCTCCGTATTTAGAGATATTCGGTTGTGTTGCCTGAGACTTCTCAGTAAGGTTTACGGATATGACTAGGAAACATTTGTGAAATTAATTTTTTGTCATCATGGCTCAAAATTTAGGTGACAAATAGTTAAAGTCTTTCGATATAAGCCTTAAAATTTGGTTTTGTACTACTTAGCACTTATCAGCAAAACATTTGTGATATATCAATATAATTGCCATTTTTAAACTCAAGCATTTCAAAATTCTAACCAATAATTTAAATGCAAACTCTCTGACATTAGTTGTCTTCTAAATAATAAGGTTGAAATGATCTAGAACATATTCGGAGTTAGAGGCTTCAGAAACACTTAGCCGATCAAATCTCAATGCATTTTAACAGTAATGATTATAATTTCCGAGTGACTTTAAAGGTCACCCTAACAACAACTGAAACAACTAATTAGGTTCATGTATGTCATCTGGGAAGGTGGAATTTCATAAAATAGAGAAATCTGTTTAAATATTTTAGCTGTGTTTGGGGCGGCCTTTAAAGTCACTCAAATTTCCAGGTTATAATTTACGTATGTGGCTACACTGCGTTTGCCTAGAAACCTTTAAAGTAAATATTTTGTTATAAATGATTGTCAAGATAAATGGAGGGTGTTGTGATGGAAGAAACCGAACTGAACAATATGCATTCAGATGTGTGATTCATCGTGAACTAAATCATTGTTAATTGTTCATTCATAATTAGGTAAATTGGAATTCTTAGCAAGGTTGAAGCAAAGATGACATGAAAAACAGATTAATTAAAAGTTTTTGATTGAAATTTATTCATTAATTTTGTGATGGAAAAAATTAATCACTGAATCTGACACAATAATCCATAGATGTAGATTACTATATCATGACTCTAAATAAAGCGAAATGACTCCCTAAAATCTCTGGGACTCAGTAATCGAATTTCACATAGAGGGTAGAAATTTATTAGAAATAAATGAGGTAAGTTATTGAAGCAAGAATGTACATTCTACTGTTTGAATACTATTGGTTGTCAAGACTTAAATGGAGTTCACTATGTGTGATCCTCATTTAGCCTACGAAGTTTGTTTCCATTTCCATATGCATGATGCACAAAAGGAAATAAGTGAAAATTTGCACGTGTATCTTCTAGTGCTCAGTGAAGAATATGTGTATAATGGAACTTAATTGAATTCATTAACATATGAAATGTTGAAACCATTTTCTAGGTGAAACTATAAAGAAAGTTTATTCACGATGTCTTAGTACTAAAGACATAATTTTGTTTAAAATTCCTTTCAGCAGATGCAGAGTTCCCTCTAAGTGTCTTCAACTAGATGTGAAAATATTCTAGTCAACTGTTACAGATTATTAAATCTAATTTTTGTTTGGCAAACTGGGTTGATTTCTGACGACAACTTTAACTGTATGCAAAAGTGATATTGCTCAAAATTAAACTTATTTTCTCGTGAATAACTGAACGCCGACCTGTTTTTATCCTTCAGAAGCATGGACCAATCTTATTTTGTCCAACATCAAGTTGAATCACAGCTGATGCTTTACCAGAGTGTATCCTATACAGCAATCGCTTTTCGGATAGTTCCCAAAATCCCTCCTTATATTATATTAACGACTAAATTTAATCAGCCAATATATTAAGCGTAGCCACTGATATGAGTGAACAAATACCGTACAAAATATTGTGTATTGGATTTCAGAAAATGTAGAACTGGTAGATTCATCTTTTTGAAACAAATCTAGAACAGTGAACCATTAATTGATAATCACTTTTCACTGCATTTACTTAGCTCCTTGCCAGACGGTATTTTCTTGAGGAAATAGAAAATTGATTAGATTTCCAATGAATAAGGTGAAAACTTGAATGCAGTGTAAATCTTTATGCTTTTATGTTAATATCTCTGACAAACAGGAGGCAGTTTTGAAATATTCATAGTGGGATATTAATCAGCATCCTTCTCAAAAGCTTTCGCCACATTGCTTACTCTTAAAGAACTGATAATGAAGCAAAGGGAGTGGAAAAACAGTTCACCGAAACACAAATATTATATAAAAGCCAGGTGCTGATGATTCATAAGAATGTGTGAAAACGTTTCACTTTCGTTAGTTCTGCTACAATCTACAAGTAAATAACTGAAAAATTTACCAGACTTTTGTTGTTTAAGATATTTATTTAGTGATGATATGTGAAAAAGGTAGATTGGTAGTATAGATTTAAATCACAATATCAGGGGGAGAAAAAGTCTTCTTTTTTGGCCAATAATAGCTGCATACGTTATAACACTTTTAAACAGTGAAACGAACATGTAATTACTTCAAACATTGGATTATTAGCCTGAATTATTTACACGATGATTCCTTGACCAAATATCTTTGCATACAGTTCAAGCTAAACGATGTATATCACTAGTCTCTTTTCAGAGAATATGCGAAGCGTATCTGGAATGGCTGACAAATACGGATGGTTTAATTAAACAAATACTTTTGTGATATCAGTTGGAAGAATAAAAGAAACCTGGGAGTACTGGACAGTATGGGACCAGGGTCGATTAGAATAACAGAGAACAAAAACTTAGCTAAATCAAGATTAGTAGATCCTAATAAGATAATAAATCTGGAGACAAACTCGGCTATAGCTCTGCATGCGATGACACACAATCACACAATAGGGTGTGATAGGGTGACAGTGTTGAAAACTAAGTTAGTTGGGTGGAGGGAGAAATTGATAACCGAATCTTTGTTTATCGAATCAACACTAAACACATGCAATCGAAATGATGCTGCACCTGTCCCAGATATATGGAAAATTCTACTACCCTTGTCATCATGTAGAAGGAGAGAAAACTAGGAATATATAAAGACTATCTCGAAGTTGTGGAATTACCTGATATGAATATGGACAATAAATTGTGTCCGAAACGTTATGCAGTAAATGCTACTGTTTCACTGTGTGACATTTCTAATAAACAGACTAAAATGGAATTACAATCAACCGCGGTGTCCAAGTTTTTTACTTATAATAATGAATAGCTGATAGTTGCGTCAAAGAATACAACAGTCCTGAAAACGTTAACCTTTTAGTTCGAAGAAATAAGATGGGGAAATTGATATTTGGTAGTAGTATGTACCAGCAACCATAGGTTAATAGGAAGTATCCCATAGAATGTTTTAGTTGTGTTGCACTGAGATAAAATCAGCAATTTGCTACTTTTAATTGATTCTTGTAAAAAAACCCAGTGTTGAGATCATGTTTTCACCGGGGCTTCCAACAGAAGTGAATGGAATGCGCGCAGATATATAAAACACCTATTCCAACTTATAAGTGTAAATCTAGACCATATTTTTTAAATTATATATGGAAATATAAACATGACATGATTTTTATTAAAATTCGTATTAGTAAGAAAATACAAATAGATGCTCTAAGTATAATAACTATTTTTCACTTGTTCCTCAGTCTGACAATCACTTAGAATCTCTACAACATTTTTTTAGCTCAAATAATCGGAGTGGAGTAGTTTTAATAAGATTTTGTTGTCATGGATCAGTTACCACCGTCATGATTTTACACGCCAGTATTTGGACACAAGACCTTTCAGCTGAACTCACTATGATCTTTAATGCAAAGTTCGTTATTTTACAACTCATGTGATATACGTTCCTTACACAGTGAGTAAAGCTGAAAAAGCCATTCAACTCATTTCCTTGGAAAGACGTTTGATTGAGTTTTCAAAGAGCAGAATGTACGTAGAATTAACACTACATGTTAACTGTTGTGGAGACAGTTACACAGGATGACTTTGAAATATGATGGTCTAATAACGAATTTCATTAAAATGAAAAATGGGCTAGCATTGTCTACATGAAGTCATTTAAATCTACTGCGGGATTTAACTAAAATCTGGATTGACAGTGACTTTTTGATCACGTGCACCTTGGATATAGAACCAATGAGAAATGCATATGTGGGTGAATGTAACTAATATTTTGACACTTTAACAAATCTGTTCAGAGCAACTGACTAGGTTGTCAACGTTTTTTTGGTCTTAAAAGCCCCAAATCGCTAAAATAAGAATTATTCCCATCTTTTACATACTACAATGGTTTAAACACCAAGTGGTTTCCAGTAACTGACCTGAATAAATATACCGAAAGATACCACCTTACTTTAAAGAATTGCAACACTTTAATAACCAAATAAATTATTCTTCTTCTTAATAAAGTTGTTCCAGTTTCAACTAAAAGCAGAAGCATTTCCCCCAGTTAAAAACTCTGTACAACTATTAGGCTCAAACGTTAAAAAGGGAAAGTTACTTTTGTGACAGGAAAGTAACCAGTGACAAGTGCATTAACGGAAATCAGTGTTTCAATATGTTTAAAATGACAATGAATTGCTATTTCCCAGATGTTTGAGTATTTCGTGCAAACTTTCCACTAGTTTTGGTTTATCGTGAATTCAGACTGAGATATGAATGAAGTGGAGAATTCTTAATTGTACACCAGTACAAGTGACCTCAGTTCATGATGACAGCCTAGTCATAAAGTTATTACATGACACTTGTTCATTAACAGCTATACATATACATCCGGATCGGTTATGAAATACAGTTGGAACATAATGTGTACAGTGCTACTTATATTTGGTTGTACTTCGCAATACAAAGCTTAATTACTTTTTGTGATTCACTTAAAAGCTGATATCACTCTGTGTAGGAGACTTCAGCGATGAACATTTCCTATAGTTCAGTAATATGCGGTACTGATGCTGACATTCGCAGTTCTAATAAATTTGGTAGGCTGTAGTTACACAGTCAAGCATTCACGCCACTTAAAATGTTGCATTGTTACATTGCGCAGCCTGCTGACTACCAGCCAGCCAGTTAGCTCAAACAACTTGGTATATTTGTACTATTCGACAAATAAATGACTGCTATCTGACTAAGAGATTATGCCTTTTACGGGTTTGTATGGTTAATTGTGTCAACTGCAACGAATCAGTCGTTGTTTATCCAGGTCACATGTGACGAACTCTAAAGGTTGGTTTTATGTTTTTTGCACATCAGTCAGTTGTGGAAGAAGATAGCCTATTTAGTGACACAGTTTTGAAATTTTCTTTTTTACACTGGTTACGAAAATTCAACACACTGATTTCAGTCATTAGAATATCTTTATAAGTTGAGCTGTTGATCTTAGCGACATAAGAAAGAGGCTGAACAACAGTATGTTTTCTACGAAACTGTATTGTAGTAACCGTTAGGTCTTTTATTATTAGTGCTTGTAGTTTCATTAGGTACAGTGTTTTATTCACACCGTTGCTAGCATTTCTCCTCTTTTGGGAAAGCGAAAAGAAAGTGCGAAGATGCAAAATTGAAGACCCTTATTAACACTTTGACATTAAAATCTCGATTCATTTTTGATATATTGTCACTTAATCGGTCTTATTCCTGCAAAGTAGAGTAGTGTTTATGTGCTAAATGTAATGTTTCTCTGACTCCGTTATTAAATATGTAATGAAAGAGCCGGTGAACAACTTTACTTGTTGTCAGGATTTTATCATGGAAGAGTATATATTATCGGCTGGTATTAGTGATCATGTATAGTTTGAGTATTTGGTAGTGATGTAAACTATGTCAGAATTTGGTTTTAATTTATTTGTGGTATCGCCATCTTAATTCATGAACTGCTAACCTGCGATGTATTCTTAGGTAATCCTAGAAAGAAAATATTCCACTTAAACCATGACAACATACAGTGCTTCTTAATCATTTTTATTCATTTATTTACAGTGCGATGATTTTCGTGTTTTTATATATCAAGGCTTAACTGTAACGCAAGTTGGCTTCCATTTGAATCAAATATGTTGCCTCCTAAGGCCGAGGCAGCTTATGCGATTATTAGTGTCAGTGAAAATTTAAGAGTACCAAAATTTCAGTTTATTTGATTGGTGTATCTACTAAAGTTCTTAGAAACCGGTCATTCAAAGGTGAATCGCCTTCACGTCCAAATTCAGTAGAAACAATTACGTCGAAGGTCCCAAAGGGTGGTTACCTGGTGATAAATATCTCTTTCTCACTTAACAGTCTGCCAAAACACTCCTTTTAATAAATCGTAGGGTTGGTAAGCTATTTGATTAGAAAATACTTTCTTGCTTGACGTGACAAGTCAACGAAGGTGTAGCTAAAATGCTGTAACGCCCAAATGCTACGTGGAAAAAGTTGTTATTGCACTAAAACGCGTAATTGTCGTTTCTGTTCAAGCCACAAAGTTAGTATAAAATAATTTTAACCAAGTGAAGAATTTCGAATCGTGATACTTCTTTTATGCACAGAATATTCATTTCATGTCAACTAGGAAGTAAAAATTTAGTACCAAGAAAAGTGATATATGTTTCGACCATTTAATCTCAATTGCGGTTTATATTCCATTCTAGTTGATTTATCACGCATGGGAATAGTACTGTTTACTAAATTACTTTTCAGGCATAGTCACATCAAGATAATCTCACAATTTTGAGACATAGTTTATGCAATTCAGTTTATACTAATTTTTGCCGAAGTATATGTAATCAATATAAAAAATTAAGTTGGTATTTCCTTGCGTTTATATATAGATGTTAATTATCCCGTATAGGAAGTCTTTGTATAAGATTGATGCTATGCATATTAACTACTTGAAGGGAATAAGTGTATTTTTAAAAAATTATGTAGCATAAAGACCAAGTGCTTCCTTTCAAATGATACAACTGATTGAGTATGTAATAATCATAATGTTTGTGTGATTAAGCATTCATTACTAGGTGAGTAATCATTCAACATTTTGGTTTTCCTACTTTACACCACAGTTTTATTTAAACCGATATCAAATGAAAGACTGTTGAAACATACACCTGAATACACCTTCATTTCTTGACTGTCACTCAGGTTAGGTACTGGGGATATTCTTAGCTTCTGTGCTATCCATAGATTTTTGGGGTGAAGCAGTCAGTTAAAATACATTCGAACGAGTGGCTCTTAATAACAGAAATCTACTATTAGAACAAAAGCTTCAACACTTTGACTAGCTCAAGAAGACTTAAATTTTCATCAAAACATTTCTTTCTTAAAGATGTTCTATTTTTGACATGACTGAACTCAGTTTGATTTTATCGGATATTCTTACCATCTTTGTGATTTCTTAAGAAGCTTCAGAAAACCAACTAAAATTTTGATAAAATTAAACTCCTGATACTATTTTTTTGACAAGGAATTGCTCCTTCATTCATAAAGAAATGTTACTCACACATTTGCAGCCAGCAAGACAGTAATAAGTGTTTGTGAAATGATGGAGAAAGTTTGTAGATTGAGATGAGTGAGATGACGGTTTGTTCTCTCAGCTTTGAAATTTTGTCTAGAACTTTTAGTTACCAGGATTGGTGACATCCTAAACACTAACTGATAAAGGAGTGGAACATATTCGAATGTTATACGCTTGTTTAGGTAGTGTTTTTGTCGCCAAGTTGTGAGTTAAGGAAGACATTTTTATTATAAATTCATCTCTTTGATCTTATATTTCCTGTCTCACTGGTGCAGAATCTTTGTTGAGGTGAAACTGTGCTACTTGCTACCGTCACACTGTTCCATCTCTGATTTGTTTGGACAGTTTACACTTAGTTGATGGCTAGCTGTTTTCTTTCCAAGATAGGGTTTATATTCACATGTCTGTTGACTGACTTTTTCGTTGAAATGCCATACTTCTAAAAATGCTCTTGCACCTTTTCATCCTGCTCTTTAGACGAATTTCGCATCCTATCAGTCGAATCTGTGATCACACCACTTAAACGTTCTTGTTACATTCCATTATGCTCTGATGATATTCATTTCACCATTTTTAGTCAAACAAAGTATTAACAAAGTTTTGATTTTGCGTATGAGGATGATAGTTTTAATATTCTCCAAGCCTAATGGTTTTTGGTTCTACTGAATTCTATCGGTGATTAATATTTGGATAGCTCTAGCTGCATTTTTAATGCCAGTTGCATACAAAAGTTGAAAACTGAATAGTTTACTAGAGTTCAAGACTATGCATTTTAGTGGCTAGACTAAGTTGGCGAAAACTGTGGTTCATCAACAACTAATGACTGAAAACTCTAACATTAGGTACCCTTAGGTTGGAGGTGGGTTCAGTAAGTTTATTTCACTAAATTAGGTAGGCTGCTTAAGTATCATAGTTAAGTGGATCGTCAGAGCACTAAAGAAAATTACTTGAGTTTTATGAGTGAGCAACACATTTTGGTTCACTACCGAATGGAATGAAGTAAAAATTTGAAAGTAAATTATTTCTTGTCAGTTTGTAGGTTTGTAGGAATTTAATGATTTCAAGTTGATATTCATCGCATACTGGATTTCAACTCAGCGTTCGCCCTGAAACCTGCTGGCACTAGATGCGCAATGCTGAGAATTCACATACTGAGACGAAACAGCCATCCATTGCTCACAGGATTTCATTTGTTCCTTGAATGATGCTAATCCTTACTGAAAACCAACTTTTTACCAAGTCCACCAGATCATCAGAAACCCCGTAGTGATTCCATATCACATACTCGTGCTAGTACTGAAGTGTGATACACATGTGTAAAGGAAAACTAAGATTCATTTGGTAAAGTAGAGACCTTTTTGAGGTTCCAACATCTTAATTCTTGAATTTTACATATCGTACATATCACATGTGGGTTATGTCAAGGCGTGTTCGGGATTCTATTCTCTTAGATATCAGTCAAATTTTTAATCAAGTAAGTAAGATAATGTTTAATTTAGGCAATCGGAACTCACATTTATTAGCTGCGTACTGATTGGTTTCATGACGTTGAACAATTTCCATAAATTCTTTGACAGTAATACTTATCGGGAGGTAATTACCTTTATTTCCTTCGAAATCTATTTTGTTTTGGTGCATTGGGCTTGATGTTAAGGATGAAAACTCATTCCTAGAATTTACAGCGAATACCTCATCTTCTATATTTTTGATACGCTCTTGGGTTTGATCCACAGTAGTTTCTCCAGCTGTATAGCAACTTTGTGAACGTTTCAGGTTTGATTCGAGTTGTAATTTTTGTGACTTCGTTTTCTGAATTGAACTTATTTTTGATGGTGACATATTCATGACATTATGTTGTGTACGTTCCAAGTGAAGGTATTTTATGTGTCTTAATGTTTTATGCTTTTCAGGAGTTTTAAAATTTCTTGAACTATGTGTAGGAAAGCTTGGATTTGTAAAGTATGAGATACTCTGTGAAACAAAGGAGTATTAAAATCTGTAAGCAGCGAATACATCAATATATAATAGAATGAAAGAGTACCTATGCAGTATCGACTATATGTTTTAATTCATTTATATTGAAAGCATTTGCCTGCCAAAACGTTACGTAAGAATAGTCGTTAAACTATGTTAGGTTGGTATTTCTCGTAGGATCTTTTCTACAATGAATCGAACTTTTTCGATGCCATGAAATAAAAAACCTTACCTTATATGAAAATTCAAATAATTTTACGATCAATAAATTAGCAAATAAAAATGTGTCACAGGGAAATCAGTTCAAGGTACAAGTATTCAGGAGAAATCTATGTGCAAGCATACTTGGCTAGTAAGTCTGGTATATGTAGTTTTATATACGGAAAGTAAACACTGTGGTGTAGTAAAACATAGACAATACTGAAAGTTGGATATTCTCTAATCGTTAGGCAAAGATACTTGATTGGTATAAAATACAATAAGTTCACTTTAGTAGTTTCCAACATCCGAACTGTTCAGCAAAGGTTAATTTACTTCTAAAAAGTAGTTTAAGAACTTACATGTCAGAATATTTACTCTGAGTTGCTTATTACTCACTTCTGTGCAACTTAATAAGAGATCATGTTTCACTGACTTAACATCATCAGATTCATTTGTCGTCCTCAGCCTAGTAGTGCAAGTATAAAACTGTACTAATCGGCTTTCCAGAAAAGGAATTTTGAATAGCCCTGAAATTTGACTTAGTGCTAAGTAACTGAAGTTCACCGTATAATATTGATGAGTTCCTGCTATTATTTTATAGGCTAAATAAAAATTCGCTTGAAACAGTAGAATTTATTGTAGAGGAGAAAAAGTATGGACTGATGCAGTTAGTGCATAGCGCTCGTTTACTCGACGTTTTCAAACACTTTCTGTTTCTATGTAACTTCAGTGTGTTAAAAGTGAAAATAAAGTTTTCCTAACATATTTTGCCTGGAAATCATTTCTTCGTTGTACTTAAGTGTGTCAAAAATGGAAGGAAACATAGTGATGCAAGATACCAGTTATCTTTAAAGTATGAGTTTTACAAACATTAGTTCCTGCATTCAAAAAATTTTTAATTCAAAAGTCTCTGGATCTGTTTTGATCTTTGGACTCAACTAAAATTAGTTGTATTGACACAGATGCTGAAAATCCATGAAACATCACACTTTTATTAAAAATGTTTTTTTATCAAGGATTCCTGGTTGACCTTTTGACGGTGTGTACTGCATAAGTCACTTGAGAGAGTATCAGAATTATGAAAGTTAATCCTAAAAAACAAACCTCATTATATTCAAGGGCTATAATAATAGTATGAAAAGACAATAAACTTTTTCAGCTTATATCATTAAAAGGAGTTAAATCTACCAACATCGTTGCTAATGTTGATTCTGATAAAATACAACAAAGAACAATTAAAACAACACTATAAAATGTTAATCCATAGTGTACTGAAAGATAACAACTGTCTCATTTCAGCTTGGATTATCAACTACTTATCAGCTGGACAGTTATCAGTAGAAACTTGATAATTCTTAGTACGAAGTATCAAATATGAACATTTCAGTTCAGATGAGTGAGTTTTCTTTGTTAAATGTTTTATTTGTCAATGCAACACAGTAAAAGACAAAATAATATTTATTTACCGTGTGTAAAAATGAATTCAACTCTTGACAGTTCATGTATCCTTTTGAATTTGTACTGTAAAACATGAAAGACAATGAAATATATTCATAGACATCAATATTTGAAATCTTGAAAGCAGTAATAAATAACTTGATTTCCAGCCAGCCAAGATGCAATTACATTCAGACACAATTTTGCACATTCAGATGAAAATGTTGATGGCCGGATGAATAGTTATTTAGAACCTACTACTAAAAGGATCGATGAAACAAAAGAGCGAAGGATATTTATGGTGCTGAACGCAATCATTTAATTGTGCTTGTTCCATTTCGTTGGTTTAAAGTCTTTGTTAAAATATAGAAGAATCCCTCCACAAGTTTTTAAACAAACCATGTTAACAATTTTTCCCTGCAGCAGCGTTATTTTATGCCTAAGTACTAAAATAATGAAGAAAGCAATTTTCAGCTAGTGGAAATGAAAGATGTGTTAATGAGTTGCGTCAAACCATACTATTTGGAAAAATTAAGTGACTATTGATTTCGGCTACTTCTGCAGTAGGTGTTTGGTCAACCATCGTGCGTTGTTTTACGCACATTTGTGTCTGCTCCTTAATAAACTTGGAAAACTACAGCAATAAGTCCATTGGAAAAGCAGCTCATTGATGAATATACTGAAACTGGTTTGAAAAGGAAACTGACTTGACAGTTACTGAAACAGAACAACATCACTTATATAGAATAAGCCTGCTGGTATCTCTGATCTGCTGTGAAAACAGCATTAAAAACTGGAACTGACTTTCAGAGGGCTCTTATAATAGGCAAATGGATCTCACTGGCTTCTTGTGAATAAAAGGACGCGCTTGAATGTATCTCTGTAGGCTCCCAGCACAATGAGAAGCAAAAGCGACCCCAATGTAGCTTGACAACAAGTCTACGAACTTACCACGAGCAGGGGTTTATAGTAAAGGTTAGAAAGATGGAAACCACATCAGTGATAGGAAAAAGTAGATGGTTGTGTAAACCTACCAAGGAAAGTGGAGTGAAAAGGTCTAAGGAAGATGAGACTATGGAGATAAAGGATTCTTCTGGGAATCACTTGCAGGGGAGAAGATTGGAGCAATGGGTGAAATACTTCGAAGAACAGTGGAGAATATTTCTAGCTTAGGTGGATGATCTTGGTTGTATTGTGTTCTCTGAGCTGGGTTGTTCAGTCGTGAAGCTTCCATCGCCTTGCTAGACGACATCATCAGTACTAACTTCAGTATGAGGTGAGCTGTCAATATCTGTCCGTGAGTGATTTAGTGGCTTGCCTTGACGAAGTGGTCTGTGATGAGTTGTTTCCTTTGGTTATTGTGCCATTGACTGAACAGATTTTCCTGTTGGCTGTCCCTTCTGTCTTTTATCTGTTTGACCTCTGATAAACGACAGAAGGGACAGCCAACAGGAAAATCTGTTCAGTCAATGGCACAATAACCAAAGGAAACAACTCATCACAGACCACTTCGTCAAGGCAAGCCACTAAATCACTCACGGACAGATATTGACAGCTCACCTCATACTGAAGTTAGTACTGATGATGTCGTCTAGCAAGGCGATGGAAGCTTCACGACTGAACAACCCAGCTCAGAGAACATAATACAATCAAGACTTTGAAGAACAGTCCAACTGGCCTCTAGGCACTATTCTGTTGTTTGCTATTCAATCAAATAACATGTGGAGCGTTGAGATAGAGCCTCTTACAAGTGAAGAATTTGAGAAAAATGCAAGTAAACTGGAAAGGGACACAGTAATGAAACTTTATGGGGTAGCACTGGAGGTATTTAGGGACAGTAGTCAGGAATTATTGATTAGGCTAACTGAAGAGTTGGCTAGTATATGGGAGTCATATATGATCCCCTCTGACTGGCCTCAATCACTGATTGTCTCAGCCATCAGAAAATGTGAGAAATAGTCTTGTGGAGACCACAGAGAAATCAGCCTGATAAATGTAGTGTCCAACAATCTAACGTCTATAACTATCAGATGTGTCAGTGGAACTCCTGAACAACAAATATGAGGAAAACTGGCAGGTCTGAGACCTAGGTTTGGTGCTTCGACCAGATATTCACTCTCTGTCAGGTTCTAAAACACAGACATATATCTCGACCTGAAGGAGGCATTCGACTCCTCCAACCAAGTGGTCTCATGATAGCGTCTTTCACTGAAAGGGTTGTGGGTATGTGAATGACCCAAGGACCCATGAGCGAATTACAGCCTACGCTGAGTTATAAGGTGAGTTAATTACATCAAGTAATATCCATCAAGGGTATGCGCTCTGCTTATTCCTACTTAGTTGCATTATAGAGACACCCTCATCTTCTAAGTTTACAGATATTGGTCCTGTCATGGCAGAATGCTTAGTCCACCTGGAGTACTCAGATGACATTGTTTTGTTAATTGAAAACTCTGGTAAGATACGGAGTTTTCTGGACCTCTAGAGTGGCAACACGAGAATTTTTAGGATGGTTTTCTCGCCACCTAAATGGAAATTGTCACTGCAGAACTGGTTTTTGCTGGCGCATTGTCTAATGGCAGAGAGTCAAGCTGTTGTGTACGTTGACCGCTCCACCGACTTCAGGAGTCAGATCAGCCATGATGGGCTAATGATAGACAAAATCTATGGATAGGTGCAAAGACTCACTTGGTCTGTGCTAACATACGTTATTTATGACTTCTAAGTGATATCCAACAGCCTAATAAGGTTCGAGTGTAATGCTCCACAGTTTGTTGTGTTCTACTGTATAACTGGAACATGCATATTAAAGGCACAGAACATGAGGTTTCCCTTGTTTGACCACCACCACCACCACAGCATAGGCTATGCCACTGCCTCACGTCATCAGTAAAGTAGAAGTCAGATTTAACGTTCTAGGGAGGACAAGAAAGTTATTTAATGAGGTTGTTATCCTTCACCTACTCAGATGACTCAGACTTATGTTAAGCATATCTGGTCACCGTCTGTTTCATAGTACATTATTGGATGAAGTAGATTCAGGCTAAAAAAAAGTTAGCGGTGACCACATTAAAATTTCTCATCAGTTCACGAGGTCCTAGACTGCCGTTCTGAGCTCTGTATGGGAGTGTAGAATTAGCGTTAGGGACCCGCACGACAACAGAATCCCCGTAACTGGAAACTAAACATTGGTGTAGCTTAGAATCAACATCAGTGGTGCAGGTGCCTTCACATGTTGTTTCCATCTTAATCGTCCTAATGAATTTCAGCATAATCTCATGCCATCTTGCTGTCTTATGACTAATTTCTAACACCTTTGTCTGCTTTCTTCTTTATTTTTTTATTTTTCATCTTGATACACTCCCTTTGACGTGTTATATGGTGTGGCAACACAGACTGGTGAAGAGTAATGTCAGGTTTTATGTTGTTATTTTTTCCATGCCTGTCTGGTTATCGATAATGAAGTTGATGAACGAAATAACACCATGAAGATGATGAAACAGAATCATTTTCGTTCTATGGCAATATATGCTTGACTGTTTTATTTTGTGTAAATAATACCAGGATGCTATTATGGCTTCGGATTTGAAATTGACAATCTCAAATCTTAGTTTATGGTTACTGTCCCAAAATAAATAATCAAAGAAACCCCTTCAAACTTCTATGACCTGTTAGGCTATGATTACACTCATAACAAACTTTTATCCTGTTAGCTTTGCTCATTTTTCAGTTAAACACCTACCATTTATAGAGTATAATTTTAATAATGGTCATCAGAAAAATGGGAAATTTGAATAAATTCCAAAGAGGTAAGAAATCTAATCCTTGTATGACTAGTTATTCTTAACATGCAGGGAAATGTACAACGAATCCGAAGATTTGTGGATGGTACCTCAAGTACTCACTGATAGCTGTTGGTCAGTTGTAATTTAAACTTATTTCGGATAAAATTTCCAGTTGAGTTAACTGCTACTACAACTGATAAACAGGGGATGAATAAACTTAGAATTGACAAACCAGTATATGCAATGACTCACGTTTTTCAAAAAAAATGTTGATCAATTAGTTTAATATCACTATTACTGACAGAGTATAGAATGGCAATCAGCTCTCTACCTCAACTTCATCGACTTTGAGAAGGTCTTTGACAGCGTCGACCGAGAAGTAATTTGGAAGCTGCTTCAATACTACGGAGTACCGCAAACCTTTATCCGCCTCATTCAACAGCTATATGAAGATGCCACATGCCAAGTAATCCACAATGGGAAGCTCAGTGATGCCTTTGAAGTGAAGACAGGAGTGAAACAAGGTTGCCTACTATCTCCCATGATATTCCTGATTGTGGTGGACTGGATCATGCAGCAAACAGTAGGCAGCGAGAAGAGGGGGACACGCTGAACGGCGGAAAAGAACCTAGAAGACTTGGATTTCGCCGATGACTTATGCCTAATGTCACACAAACTTGAAGATCTGCAGGCAAAAACTAACAAGTTGATAGAAGAGGCAGCGAAGACGGAACTTCAGGTGAATATAGAGAAGACAGAAGTGATGAAGATACCGCACCACCACCACCACCAACAACAACAAACTCCAATCACCGTCACGGGAGAAACTTAAAGGAAGTAACCTCCTTCACTTATCTAGGAAGCACTGTTTCAACTACAGGCGGGACGGACGAGGACGTCAAAGTCAGAATCGGAAAAGCAAGACAGGCGTTCATTAGCCTGAAACCAGTGTGGAGATCCGCTGCACTCAGCATACGGAACAAGATCCAGATTTTCAACACCAACGTCAAGTCAGTGCTTCTGTGTGATGGTTCAGAGACTTGGCGCGTTACGAAAGGGATTTCCAATAAACTACAGACATTCACCAACAACTGCTTACGCTCGCTACTGAAGATCAGATGGCCAGAAAGAATAAGCAACAAGGAGCTCTGGGAACGTACTAACCAAGAACCTATCGCTCAACAAATATGCAGGAAGAAGTGGAGATGAATTGGGCATACACTGAGAAGGCGGACTGGGGACATCACGTGTCAGGCCCTCGAGTGGAATCCCCAGGGGAAGCGACGAGTTGGACGTCCGAGGGTGACATGGAGGAGGTCGCACGAGGAGGAAATGAGAGCTTGTGGGCTGTCGTGGAACCAGGTTCAAAAGATCTCAGAGAACAGAGGTCACTGGAGACGTGCTACTGAAGCCCTATGTTCCACTAGGAACCCAAGGGACTAATAATAATAATAATAATAATAATTACTGACTGCAGCCACAATATTTAGGGCAACATCCGAAAAATATTTTTGACTTTCTTGAAGTATACTAAGGAGTCTAGCTGGAAATTGTCATGGAAAAAAATATGCATTGATAGATTTTTGAGGTCCATGAGTCGCATTTGTCATGCGACTTATGATGACTGGTGAATATTTAGACCGAAATTTGACAAGTAGAAATCAATGTATTATGTTGAATGAAGTCATGAAATGTGCCTGCAAGTGAAACGACATTTTCACTGGCTCTTCTTGTTTTGTGTTACCACGATTGATAATACAATCCTATTGGTTGTCGTTCAAATGATAATGATTTCATTCTTCTGCGGCTATGAAACTGAATAAAGCTTCTATTATTGTGTGATTACACTTTTTGGCTGCTCTTTTGAGATTGCTTGTAGTATATGTATTACACTTCAAAACTAATAGTTCTGGTGAATATTATTTCCAGATTCGTATTTCATAATTCGATTCCGAAAATACAAAACAAATATTGTACATTGAAAAAGCTCTGTGTTTAGCAAAAATTATCTTTCATAAGGGCGTAAAACCCCACTCTTCTGTTTTAAGTGATTTAACATACTGTTACAGTAAAGAATGTCTCCAGGGATTTGACTTTCAGACCCACTTTAATCTTGAAGATATTCACACATAAGAACGTAAACTCAAACTTGAAAATAATCATCAATAGAAGCGCTTACTGAGAGTAGAATAGGTCTGTAATATCTTCTCGTGGCCATGATTGAAGGAATAAGTTGAAGAAACAATCAAAAGTGAAGTTTTCTAGTTTAATTTCTTCATCCTAAAAATTGGAAGACAAATTGAACTTAATTCAAGACTTATCAGAGCCATGAAAGCTTGTTTTTGGATTGCACAATATAAATCTTCTGCGTGCTTCAAACTAACTGAGTATGCGCCATCCATCCTTCTAGCTAGAATTATGCAGAATGTCAGCTTAACTAAACTATCAGATTAGTGTTATGAAATTGTCAGCTAATCTTATTTTACACTGTGTGATGATTGAAGGTGAAAAGTTGTTACAAATTTTCATTTCACTTTCGATCATCAGCTAGCACAAATAACAGTCTGCTAGACTGCAGCTATCTCAGATAGTCAGATGATAATCTTATTTTGCTCACTATAATTTAGCAAAAAATCAGTTTGTCAGAACACAGGAAAATGCCATTTACTGTAACCTGCTAGTAGCTCAGTTTATACTCATGAAATACTTTTACTACTAAACTTTATAGTTTCACAAGCATTGTACTGTATTTGGAAATCACCTAAACGATTTGAAATCGGTGAGCGCATTATCCAGTCAATTGGAAATAAAATCAGTAATCATGCACAAAATATTTTCAGTTGATGACAGTAACCCGGAATGAGTTGATCACACAGAAACTGGTTATTCTATCGTGTAAGAATTATATTTTTAAACGATAGTTATAGTTTTCTATGCTTTAAAGGAAACAGATAATTCTCAGCTTGGTCGAGTGTCAGAAGGAAGTTAATGATAGGTAATTCTTGCATATGTATCAACCTGAAAAGCATCAATTTCAACGGCATTAGTTTTGCAGTAACTGTGAATTGAGTTTCAAAATTACAACTAATTATGTAGCTGAAACGTAATTTTACAATAGTGGGTGATTGTGCTTGGAAGATAGTTTATTCACTGATATCTAAAAGGTATTTATCTCGTGATTTTAAAAATGTTCAATAATGAATTATTTCTACGTTTCTGAAATCCCTGGAACTTTAGAGAGGACTTTGATGGTGTTTTACACATTGCTTATATATGATATCCTCTAGTATATAATAATCACTTTATTCCAAGTAATATGATACATCATGGAATTCTTAGCACTTAGTTTTTCAACAATCACTCCTAGAACAATACTTTCAGGCGAAATGGCTATTGCATGTAAATGGTGTTAATAATAACAATATTTAAGGCAATAATGTGAAACAGCCAGCTGGTTTTGGATTGAAGTCTGGCTTAGGATGAAGAATCAAAAGAAATGCAAGCATTAGCTTAGTTGTGGCCAGGAAAGAATCCACAACTCAAGTGAAAAACTCAATTCTGTATAGCGTGATATGTTTTCTCCGTTCTGATATTATATCAGGTAACCGTGAGTTAAAAAGATTTTAAAATCTGCAAGAGTATGTGATAGCTTCAGAGGATACATTTAAATGATTAAAGTGAATTGAGAATAAAAAAATTAATATACAAGTTGAGTGGAAAATTTTGATAACCCAAGGTGTAGGCAAGTGGCCATATTATGCTGATGTATATTTCAAACTGTAATTATGTGAAAGATTTCCAGTCACCTCTCTCGGTTAACTAGCTCACTAGTTACTAGCCGGTTCTAAGCCCCAGTAAAGAGGGAAGGTTGGGCATAGGGCTAGCAACCCTACCCCGGAAAACAAATCTAACCCCTAAACAAACTTCAAAGCACTAACAAAGTATATAAAATAAAAGCAAACTCATTCTTCGCTGGAATCGGAGAGGCGAAATGATGCCAGTTGGTGAAAGCCTCCCAGAAGCCAATTGGTCGATGTGTCTTCCCTCGATGAAAGCGAAAGTAAACGTGGGGACATGGAATGTCCGCACGATGTTTGAACCCAGCAAGGCAGCCCACATTTCAAACGAGATGAAGAGGTATCACATCGAAGTGCTTGGAATTTGCGAAATCAGATGGAATGGGAGTGGACTACAAACTGTCCACTGGAGAATCAATAATCTACTCCGATATTGTCACCCAATTCCGTTCATTCAACGATTTGGTGATTGGAGGCGAGGCAGTGTGTTCAAGCACAAGGATATCCACAAAGCGAGCAACATGGATTTCACCAGACACCAGGAAACACTACACTAAAAATCAGATCGACGTTATCTCAATCTCAAGAAAATGGAGACGCAGTCTACTTGACACAAGGTCAAGAAGAGGAGCAGATGTAGGTTCACACCACTCACTATCTAGTACAAGGCACCTGCCTTCAATATCAAGTTGAAAGCCTTCAAAGAGGCTGATGATGATAGACCTCAGTTCAGGTTCAACACTCGGAACACAAACTGAACTGAAGGACGAAACTACAAAGGAAATCACATCAGCCATCAAGACAAAATGAGAGATGTCGAGCAACATCCCTGGAGAAACCTATGTAGATGAACACTGGAACTCTCTGAAAGCTATATGGAAAGAAACCTGCACAGCCGTATTAGGAAGGAAAAATAAAGAAGATGAGGAATGGATCTCAATGGACACATGGAAGCTGATAGAGCAGGGAGAGGAGGATGGTGAAGCAGAAGATAAACCAGTGCATGGATGCTCAACGACAAGAGGAACTGACTACAATGTATAAAACAATGGACAAAGAAGTGAAGAAGAGTTCACGGAAAGACAAAAGACACTTCTACGTAACACTGACAAGTGAAGCAGAACAGGCTGCTGGTAGGAGAGATAGAGACCTGACAACATTGTATCAAATAACCAGGTTGCTATCTGTTATGGAAGAGATCAACGCAGACGAAACCAATAAAAGATGATGACGGAAATTTAATTACGAAAGAAGAGAAACAAAGGAAACAATGGTCCCACCACTTCAAGAAGTTCTTGAATCGACCATCACCACCACCACCACCACCACCTGCACTTCGTCCAGAAATACCACCTGCAGCCCAGCCGCTGAACTACAAGCGAACATAAATCCTCCAACAAAAGTGGAATTCCTGAAAGTCATAAAGCTACTGAAATGCGGAAACGCAGCAGTAGAACCAGATCGGGTCCCCCCAGAAGCACTGAAAACAGACTCAGAGACAACAGCGGACATGCTCACACCACATCACTATTGCAGATGGTGTGTAAGGAAGGGAAGGTACCTGGCTAGTGATTGGAAGAAGGGCTACCTTGTCAAACTCGCGAAGAACGGAGATCTCAGTGTTTGCAAGAACTGGCATGGAATCATTCTCCCGTCCACCCAGTGCAAGCAAAATATCAAGTTGCATCATCCTGGAGGGGCTAAAGCATGCACTGGATTCAAAACTACGACTGGAACAGGCAGCCGGCTGGATTCAGGAAGTACAACTCATGTGTGGACCAAATTGCAACGCCACGCTACACATCATTACAGAACAGAGTATAGAATGGCAGTCAACTCAACTCTACCTCAACTTCATCCACTTTGAAAAGCTTTTGGCAGCGTCGACCGAGAAGTGATTTGGTAGTTGCATCAACACCACGGAATACCACAAACCTCTATCAAACTCATTCAACAACTATATGAAGACGCCACATGCCAGCCAAGTAATTCACAATGGGAAGCTCGGTGATGCCTTGAAAGTGAAGACAGGAGTGAAACAAGGTTGCCTACTATCCCCCATGATATTCCTGATTGTGGTGGACTGGATCATGCAGCAAACAGTAGGCAGCGAGAAGAGGGGGATACGCTGGACCACGGAACAGAACCTAGAAGATCTGGATTTCGCCGATGACGATTTATGTCTTATGTCTTGTCAGACAAACTCGAAGATGTACAGGCGAAGACTAACAAGTTGGTGGAAGAGGCAGGGTAGCGAAGACGAGACCTCAAGTGAATGTAGGGAAGAGAGAGGTGATGAAGATACCCAACCAACAACCCCAACAACAACAACAACAACAAACTCCAATCACCATCAACGGGAGAAACTTAAAGGAGTAATCTCCTCCACCTATCTAGGCATCACTGTTTCAACTACAGGTGGCGGCACAGACGAGGGTGTCAAATCCAGCCAGCGAGGCAGGATCGGAAAAGCAAGACAGACGTTCATTAATCTGAAACCAGTGTAGAGATCTGCACTCAGCATGTAGAACAAGATGTGGACTTTCAACACCAACGTGAAGTCAGTGCTTGTGTATGGTTCAGAGACTTGGGGTGTTAAGACAGGCATTTCCAACAAACTACAGACATTCATCAACAACTGCTTACGCTGGCTCGTCACTGAAGATCAGATGGCCAGAATACTAAGAACAAGCAACAAGAAACTCTGACTGGCTGGCTGGCTGGCAAAGAACCAACCAAGGACCTATCGCTGAACAAATATGCAGTGGAAGGAAGTGGAGATGGATTGGGCATACACTGAGTAGGTCGAGTGGGGACATCACGTGTCAGGCCCTGGAGTGGAACCTCGATGAGAAACGACGAGTTGGAGGTCCAAGAGTGACATGGAGGAGATCGTGCGAGGAGGAGATGAGGGATTGTGGGCAGTCGTGGAGCCAGGTTCAAAAGATTTCAGAGAACAGATTGGACTGGAGACGTGCTACTGAAGCCTTATGTTCCATTAGGAACCCAAGGGATAAATAATAATAATAATAATAATAATAATAATAATAATAATAATAATAATAATAATTGGCGCACTATCAGCCGATGGTCAAAATGCCGGTTTAAAAGAGTATTTCATGTGCAAGAAACAAAAGTGAAGGTTTTTTTAGCAATCCCCCCATTAATAATGTTATTCGGTATTTTGAGGGAATACATGAGTAGGAATTCACTTCTTTCACCTCCCTACTGCCTTTTTGACCAATTTTTTTTATGCTAACCTCTATGTAGTATTCCACTTCTTTTAGAAAGCGTTCAGGGCAAAGACATGAACTTATCATTGGACACGCATGATAGACATTACTTGCTGATTTCTATTTACAGAAACAGTGAATTATCACTACTTAGTTGTCTTCCCAATTTGTTACCGGATAACTGTTTGTCAGTCAAATTGAAACATGCTAGTAACATTATTTATGTAACTGAGGATTTCCAACATCCATTTCGATATCAGTATTTTTCACTTTGTTGTATACAAACTTATCACTCGAAAGTCGACAGATTTTAATAATTAACACTGAAAAACTATTTCTTCCACTGCATTTTCCACTCACGGGAAAACTATTAAGTTTCTGAACTTTATTGATCACCACTGAACTTTCTTCCATACCAAGTGCTGCTCGAAGACAACAGCTTGAAACTGTAATGTTTTCATCATGAAGTGATTCTCCATCTTCCATTCCAGATAACGTACTTGAATACATAAGCACTAGATGTGTCCACCTTTAAAATAAGACCAAGAAAATTATAAATAATTAATGATATTTTTATATGCAGGCAGATATCAAAGAGCATTAGCCGAAAGTTGTCATTTCTTGTTCGTTTTAGCGTGTTATTATAAGTTGCGTGACGACCCTATGCACAAGCTGTTAATTAATTCATAATAATAATTATTTATTTTTATTATTAGTCCCTTGGGTTCCTAATGGAACATAAGGCTTCAGTAGCACGTCTCCAGTCCAATCTGTTCTCTGAAATCTTTTGAACCTGGCTCCACGACTGCCCACAATCCCTCATCTCCTCCTCGCACGATCTCCTCCATGTCACTCTTGGACCTCCAACTCGTCGTTTCTCATCGAGGTTCCACTCCAGGGCCTGACACGTGATGTCCCCACTCGACCTACTCAGTGTATGCCCAATCCATCTCCACTTCCTTCCACTGCATATTTGTTCAGCGATAGGTCCTTGGTTGGTTCTTTGCCAGCCAGCCAGCCAGTCAGAGTTTCTTGTTGCTTGTTCTTAGTATTCTGGCCATCTGATCTTCAGTGACGAGCCAGCGTAAGCAGTTGTTGATGAATGTCTGTAGTTTGTTGGAAATGCCTGTCGTAAAATCCAAACTCAGTGTGCTTGTGGTTATCGTCTGGGTGACAATATCGGAGTAGATTATTGATTCTCCAGTGGACAGTTTGTAGTCCACTCCCATTCCATCTGATTTCGCAAATTCCAAGCACTTCGATGTGATACCTCTTCATCTCGTTTGAAATGTGGGCTGCCTTGCTGGGTTCAAACATCGTGCGGACATTCCATGTCCCCACGTTTACTTTCGCTTTCATCGAGGGAAGACACATCGACCAATTGGCTTCTGGGAGGCTTTCACCAACTGGCATCATTTCGCCTCTCCGATTCCAGCGAAGAATGAGTTTGCTTTATTTTATATACTTTGTTAGTGCTTTGAAGTTTGTTTAGGGGTTAGATTTGTTTTCCGGGGTAGGGTTGCTAGCCCTATGCCCAACCTTCCCTCTTTACTGGGGCTTAGAACCGGCTAGTAACTAGTGAACTAGTTAAGCATTCGAGGTTGATTTAATCATAAGACAAGTGGACATTCTGAGACTATGATTTTTTTCGTGATCTCAGGTTCTAAATTTATCTAAATCCTAATTTTCTTGAGCTGGAAACCTATTTGTTCGCTGTTAAAATATGTTTTGTGATTTCGAACTAAACTTTTGGTGCCTTCACTTTTTATTAAATGGTGTAACAATGTGAAATCAGACAAATATTTTACAGTTTAATCCAGATTTGAAAACAGAACAGTTAACTGCTGGAATAAGAAGTCATGTGATTGCTATTGATTAGGGTATAGAGCATTTAGATGTATCGTGCAGCTGAACTTAATTTAATATCAAAGTTAAGCCAGTAAATGCTCATGACATGTATTATGCACTCAAATATTATTTACCAACAACTTCAAAAAGGAGAATATAGCCAATTTAACTAAGAAAACCTGGGTCGCGTAGCCAGTGAGTGCAGTATTCATGCCAGATAGTTTTATCATATTCTAGGAACTGAGTATTTTTTTCACCAGGTTTGATTTTACCTGTTATTGTTAAGATTTGGCCAAATTTCATTTATCCTGGCATTGCGGTTACTTTGTTGGACTGGTTATGAACCTATTTTGTCAGGAGTTTGGTGTTTTTCTTCTTGTAAACCTATTTTCAAATTAATCGACATCTGACAATAGTATTTCTCATGAACTAGTATCTGTTTCTAAAAAACGATTTTCTCAACTGTCTTCATAAATTTGGGAGATACACCTTTTCCATTAGTGTATGTCAGTATACTGTTTGTTTAATCAGTACTTTGATATGTAAAACAATACTTTTGTCAATAACTGGGGTCAGACGATGAATTACTGAATTTAAATATTGTTACCTGCTGACGATACTTGTTTAGAAGCTACTTTATCAAGACGCTTGTGTAATTTCAGTCAGTATTTTCTTCCTTTCATCTCTAAAATCACTTGTGTGATAGCATATTTGTCAGTCATATTCAGGTCATTTTTCCATGTACATTACTGCTCAAAAAGCATGTGTTTGCAAGGAGATTGACAAGATTAAAAGAGCTTCATTCACTTCACTTGGTAGTGGTATAGACATTTTGTCTTTCGAATCCACATCGGTATGGTAGTGTTTCACAGATATATTCAACTTTGTAGTCTTCTTATTTACATCTCAGTTAAGTTTGTTTCATTACGCCAAAAAAGAACTATGAGAGATGTTTGTGTAATTTTCTAAAATCCGAATCCCAAAACACTCTTAGTATTTGTACAACCAACTAAGCTGTTGTAACGAAATCAGGATTTTAAAATTTAAAATATTTCTTTTTGATTACAAAATCTAAACATTCAAGGGATTTTAAGTGTTAACCTAACTAAGTGACTTGTTGATGATCAGAATAATAGGTTCTGTAACAAAGTTGTTGTGTATCAAGACTGAAATGATTTGAACTAATCTTCATACTTTTGAAAAATTGTACAAAAGTATCAAATATATGATTTCGTTCTACAATATCAAAATAATGTCTTTACGACTAGTAGTCTATTTGCGTTTCATATTTGCAATGAAGCCCGTAGCAAAGTAATTCACTGGTAAACTGCAATACAAGCATTTGTTAATTGATCGAAACAGATTATCTTCGTTATCTTTTCGTTTAAAACTGTGATGCTTTCTTTGTTCCTGGAATTCCGTGAACCCTCTATGGTCATACATACGATAAGTGGTCCTATAAATCGTGAGTTCGCAGATCTTGTCAAATTCATTTTTGTGGTGAAAACGTTTTTCTACTAGTTTGATAACGCTGTTTATCCTGAATAGGTTTGATTTATTTATCTTTTGAATAAAAACATATCTAACACACTGAATAGTAGTGATGTAATATGAACAAGGTGGAATTTTACTTCAAGTAAAAAGCTAAATGGAATACCATTAGTTACTTACTGTTTCCAGAGAAGTTCCAGTGGTGCTAAATCAATACGTGTTGCATAGTGAGTGAAAATTAGATGAAGAAGGGCGTCTTTCCAAGACTGAGATAAGAAAGAAGAAAACAAAAAAAATGAGGATTGCTCCTCGGTTCAGACAGAATAATGAAGATGAAGGAATATTCCACAAAAAATATTCATTTATATGTCCAGTATCATAGTAGCAAAGACTATTGTTCGGCATGCAGGATGGTGACATACCTGCACAGTGATTTGCCGATAGTATTTGCTGTATCGTACACACATTGCAAGTTTTGTGATATGAACTAATATTCTCTTTTAGTCTGCATGGTGAATAACACTGGAATTCGAGATGCGCGGTTTTTCCTATTTAGGACTCCTCAGCTTGACGTGCATGTGATGTCATTCCCACTGAGACTAGAACTCAGTACGCATCACCTCAAAGGCCAGAGAGTCATTTAGTTGATGAGTTCCAAATGGGAGGAAGCACACATTCTGCATTTCACTCCTAGCTATCAAGTAGACTGAAATATGATGAGTATTTGGGCAGTATTGAGGCATCCACATAGGAGCCCATTTACTAACAGAGGTGAAGTGTTTTAATCCAGTTTAACAAGAGCGGAAGTACGAGTATCAATAACAACTATTTTTCTTGTCATACTTCATGGCATGTGTGTTGTAAATAAATAGTTTGTAGATGAAAAAGTGCTGATTTTACAGTAGTGGTTTTTCAGAATTTTTCTTTTTATAGTTATGAAACCACTATGGTTAAAAGCTGAAGGTCAGGTGTCCACTTATTATATCAATAGCAACCCTACGTAAGAGGTTACTCAACGAACATACTTGTTTAAATTATTTTTACTGCAGAGGTCTTAAATAGTCATTACTCAGCCACTCATGTGGTTTAAAATTGAGTCGCTTAGTGAATGCGCTAATATGACGACTATTATGGTAACTTGCCTTGGATTCTTCTGCTAGCCACAACCAAGCAAATTACAATAATTTAAATTCAGGCAGTATCGAGGCATCCACATAAGAGCGCATATGCCAGTAGAGGTCGAACAGTTCAATCCAATAAAACAACGGAGAATTACAAGTATGTTAATAAATAGTAGTATTATGGTAACTGTAATAAGAGCCCATTATATTTGTCGTTTGGAATGTTGAAGTCATGGCTGTCTTTTGCACCATTCATCGCAAGCATCATATTACTTTGTTGAACTGGTATGTTTGTTCATTGTAGTGTCAAGCCTACTCAGCCAACACATAAGAATATCCTTTCACCATGAATATTGATATTCATTATATATATGAGTGAGAGTTTATCACATATGATAGAAACGTTACACCCCAAGGATCTCTCGAAATAATTTACAGTAAAGTATGTACACCATAACCGTTTAAAGGGTCATATGAGAATTTATTCGCCCACAGAAAACGTTTAGAAGTCACTACGAAATCATCTGAAATGGTCATTGACCATAATTATTCTCCTTGTAATAACCAATCTCTTTTCGCCCCATTAAGAATGCCTATTATGTAATTATCACGATAAACTATTAACTCCTGAGAGATTAGGTTTGGTTCTCCTTGATTGTCTAAAATATTAAAAGTATCTCTTTTGTAATTTTTTCAAGATTATCATATAATGCCAGAGGAATACATATTACCATGTAAATAAATTTAATCTGCTGATAAACGGCTTGTATAATTAAAGTGTCATCCATTTTCTGATCACTTTTAAACAAAATGCAGAAGAGCATATTCATAACTGATCGACCGTAATGACTACTTTCTGCATTGTAAACAGTTACTGAAATAAAGGAATGATTGACATTTAGGACGTTCAATATCTGTTCAAGAAATGCGCTTAAAAGTTGAATATTCACGTAGTATTACTAAGCTACTGTAAACCATCAGGCTTCATACGTTTAAATTCATGATAATTTGCTGTATAATATTCCACACATTTAAACCGTGGTCTGAATTTCTGTGAGTTAGAAACTTTGTACTTTACGGATGCTAAAGTGCTCATATTATTAGGAGTTTTTAAGAGAAATAATCCGCTACGAACTACGTTTCTTTCTATTTCACTTAATTAGATTTTGTCTGTGGTTATCTACACTAGAAATTTTGAAATCTTTAATCGTACTTTATTAGTGATCTAGATAGGAGTCTTGAAGATGGATCTAAATATTACCATCATCCAAACTCTTTTGTTTATCAGATATTAATATCTTTATAAAAAGGCGATATATATATAAGCCTGGTATTGATTTGTTTGTCTATGAACACTGAGTGAAATGATACTGTGAAGTACTTCTGTTATCACTTAGCAAAAGACAGTGTTCTATCTGTTTTTGAGTGAAGGTTTTCGTTAGATCATATAATTGTGGAAAAGATGAATCGCAGCTATTAAACGTTTGTCCATGGAGGAATATAGAGACAAATCAGAAATCTTTAATCTTTTTTGAGGTTATCCTGAGACCTAGAGAACAAATTTGAGTGGAAGTAAACCCTCAATTAGAAGCTTCCTTTCCTGATATAGTACAAAAATTTTATATTAACTTTCCTCATAATAAAACATAAATAATATAGTACATGTCTCACGTAATACTTTGTGTCTATACATGAGATTATCCAGTTTACTGTGAACGGAAGGTCAGCGATAGAAGGAAAAATTGATTTATATTTGATTCGTTTGCTGTCACGTCTTGAATTCATTGATTCATTGGAACTGAGAGATAAGGAAATCATTTCATTGTTATGTGGGTACTTAGTTCATTTAAATCTCACCTATAGAACATTTAACCAAACAAACTAACTTGCATTAACTTCCTTCGTTTTATGTCAGACTAACGTTTCTTATGATAGAAGATGGTACAAACATCATTAATGACTGGAGTATTATTCGTATAACAAACTTTCCGGTTGTTATTAAGTGAAGAATAAATAAGACTGACTTTAATGCTTAGTCTCCTAGGCTGTTTTTGGAATTTAAAGTTTTTTTTTTTGGTACTGATATTTTTTTAATTGCAGCAACAAACGGTCTCAACTTAATCCATATATTTGTCACTGAGATTGGTGGTGAAGTTGTTACAGAAAGGTTGCGTTTTAAAGAAAGTGTCAAGATTATGGAATTTGAAAGTGAATTAATTAGTACCGATGAGGTGTACTTGGTAATCGTTCATCTTTTGCAGAAAAATCTGAAAGGATGATAAGTGAGAAAAAACTGGTGAATTTCTCAGTATAGCATGCATACAGAACAGGTTCTTATTTCACAATGATTATTGTATCCATTTAGGGGCTAGAAATTTCGAAACTTGTTTGTTGCAGGTAGCACAAAGCCTTTCGAAGGTATTCTGTTTTTGATATGGTGGAAGTCAAGAAAAGTTAACAATTTCGCATCATTTCACACCAAACATGGTTCACCTGAAACGTAACTAGAGGGACGAAAACAATTCTACTTCATATTACTATTGACATTATAAGTATGTCTTCGAAAAATTAAATAGTTAGCTAGGCGTGAGTGATTATGTTAATGAGTATTAATTCTGAATTTCTGCATACTTTATCTTTTGTGATTCATTACTGGTGAATTTTAGTATCTTCACACAAATTTACGTTTTGGCCAATCCATCCGTTGTCATTAGTGTGACAGAGGAATAGTCTACTTCCATAAATTATTCAAGCGCTGGGCAAAGTGGTCATTGTTTTATTATTTCCACTGGAGTATTTGGGTGTATGTGTATATCTACGACAACATATTTAGTGGAATGCAGTCATTGCTTTTTGTCAGTTAGATGACCAGTAAGTTTTAAATTGGCGACTAGACTACGGCTTAACAAATGGTTGATTATGCAAATAAAAAGTTAATAACAGTCTATAAATGACAATAATATTTTGATTAGTGAAATCATTATTTTTGAGGACAAGGCTTTTTAAAAGCTTTTGCGGGAGATACAAAGATGGCTCATTTTTTCCCTTTTAATAGTTTGTTGAGAACATGATTTATCTTTACGGTATCTTTCGAACTTACACTGGCCTGGAGGGACTTTAAAGGCCTTCCTAACAACAGGTGAGATAACCAGTTAAATTTCTTTATTTTATGAAAATCTGCCTTACCAGAAGAAATAGAAAACCCGATTGCTTATTTCATTATTTGCTACGGGAGCCTTTACGATTACTCCTGTGTGGTTTTGGAGCTCAGTATCTTGTTACCAGCTTAAAATAGATAGTGAATTTGAGTCTGGTACTTGCTTGCTATCTTAGACGTTTTCACCACACATTTCATGGTGAAATTTCGATTTTTTGAATCCCGTTTGTCACCAAGACATATAAGGCGAATAGGCACATTTCTGGATTGGATTTCACTTTCCCTCTTTTTCATACTGTAAAGAAATGATGTTATCTCACTGTCTTACTCTTCAGCCATTATGCAGTTTTTTTTGAGATAACGGTGTACGAAGTGATGAAGATCTACTTCTCATCACTCCGAAAGTGAAATTAAGCTTCTGGCATCCAGGAATGTTTTTTAGTGCCATATATGTTTGCCAATATTAAACTACTAACGAATATGGGGTTTGTAAGTGTTGGTTAAACTCATATAAACCTCATAAGCATTCAGTCTTTATTTTAGCATAAAGTTTTAGATTTTAAGATTTCAAACTATGGTAGAATGTCATTTGTTAGTATGAAGATTACAGTGGCGAATATCCTTCTCCCTTATTTCAGTACATTCCACTCTTATTCACAGGCTGTTGTTCGAAAAATCACTCAGTAGTATAAAGAAGGGTGTTATCTCTTTCATAGCAAGTAAACATTCATCAGGTAAGACTATATTACCTGGTATTTCACAAAGATAATAGAAGAAACAACTTCAGGAAAGGTCTTTTTCATAAAATACAGTTTCTATACATTCTGACTATGCAAAGGAAGACAGTTTTGAATAAACACTGTTTTTTTTCTATTATTGGTGCAAAATCAGCATACAAATATATACAAATATATAACCCCCCTAGGTTATTGCTTGCATTATACCGTCATTGGTTGGATCTGATTGATCGGCCTCTACTGGCATATGTGATCGTGTGCAGATGCCTCGATATACCTGTGTTCTAGTCAGTTAGAGACTGATCAATCCGGTTCAGTCAACGGCGGTATAATACAAGCAATAACACTAAGACTATACCCATCGCACAAAATGTGACTATTAGGGCTCAGTGGTGTAGTGAAAAACGCTTTGGCATTTGAAGCGATCGCTTCCGAGCCCGATCCCTGGTCGGAACAACACACGCTGGAAGGCAGGTACATTCAGCTGACGAGTCCCAAATAGGACGAAATGCACATCCTGGATTCCTACTTTACTATAACGCCCCTGTATTTAGAAAATCAAAACAAGATTTTTTTTGAACCTTTCACTATGCATACCACAGATTCTCCAGTAGAATAGAGACGAGTAGTATTATGAATAAAAACAGAACAAATATCACCACTTACTTCTAGTACAGTAATATCATCGTTGACCAATAGAAAAACAATGCTTGTATTATCTAGCGTATCTTTGCAGTACAGTTCATGAAAATTGCTCTTTCCCGACATAATTATGCCTTCTGTTGAAATCTGGAGTCGTAACAAGTTGGTATTTCTAGCCTGAAAAAGCTATGTAAATATAATAACATTGAAGAAAAGAAATGTTAGTTAGAGGGATGCTTTTCATTGCAAAATGCACCTTCAGTTATTGTCATTGTGTTACCCTGTATATGGTATACTAAAGAGAAAGAAACAGTATAATTCAGTAGAGACCAATCAAGTACGAAGAAGTGATTCGGTGTTGCAAAGTCTTAGAAACAGTAAACAGGTAAACTGACTTTCACTGATGAAAGTAGGAATACCAACGTGAAATTCAACTAAATAGCGTGTGTAAACAGAGACAGTAGCCTTGAATACTATATATTTCAAACTAAGTCTGATTTTTTTCACAGCATTATTCCTCAGAGACTGAAATCCTTTAGTGAAACAACTGAAACCTGAGACAGGTGTTTCATCCCAATATGGGACTTCTTGACAATGAGCAACCAGACGTAAGAAAATTTGGACCCTTGAATTCTGACGAAGTTATTCAATGGTATCCGAGGATTATGGTCAGACATCTGATGGAGTCGTGGGTGCGCGCTACTGAAGATTCCCACGCTGGGTCAAAACAATAAACCAGGGTTTTCGGATTTTAGATCGTTCAGCAACTGATATCGATCCGCAATGAATATCACCTTGAAATTAATAAATCCCCACAAACCTCAAAACTAAGTTCGATTGTTTGGAAAACTATCTGATTGCATTTCTAGCAGTATATGTAGATGGATTTAAATCTAAGAGCTGAGATATTTCTGAATATTTGTCTATAATAATACTGATAAAATGTACAGAAATCACAATTGTGATCAGGATTTCTAGAATATTAAAGCATTTCTCATTAATTATGTGGGTTGCTACTGGCATAAAGCTAATCACTTCTAAAATACCAGTTTTTACTTTGATAAACAAATTAATACGCTGTATGACTGGTAAATTCTTCGAAAAACTAAACATCTATCTCCTCATACCATTGGGATAATGAATACAATATGTGCCAATCCTCAGAAAGCCTGTCGACTTAGTAACTTCATTCTAAATGATAAGCACAGACAGAAGCAAACAGCTTTCTAAGGAGAGATATATTCACATACGTTAAGTAGCAAGCATAAAACTCACGGGTACATTCAGTTATCTCATTCTCTTCTTTGGTTGAAGCTACATGTCTTCTGCTATTTAATTAGTTTTTTCTTTTATGGGATACATACTTTTAGGTTAAGCCAAATGATTTAGTTTCGTTATTCACTTGACGATCCCTCAGATTACTGAAATACTTTGATTTAAGTGATTTGCTAAGACCTGAACATTTAATGTTCTTTTCATAAGATTTGCACCGAAACATAATCATCTGGAAGAATTCTGAGGTTGTGACTGATGACCTGGCAAAGGTGCAAACTTGCAGATGGAAGAATACATAAGCAACAATTAAAACACTTTCCATAGATTGTACATATTGCTGTGCAGTCGTTTGAACCTGGCTTACCGACTGCCCACAAGCTTTCATTTCTTCCTCACACAACCTCCTACATGTCACATTCACCTCAGATGCCAAACTCGTCATTCCTCATTCGGCTTCCACTCGATGGCCTGAATCATGATGTCCCCAATCGGTCTTCTCAGCATATACCCAATCCAGTCCATCTCCACTTTCGTCTGCATATTTCGTGGGCGATGGCTTCTTGGTTGGTTCGTTGTCAGCCAGCCAGCCAGTCAGCCAGCCAGCCAGCCAGAGTTCCTTGTTGCTTGTTCTTAGTATTCTGGCCATCTGATCTTCAGTATGGAGTGAGCGTAGACGGCAGATGTTGATGTGGTGTATGTCTGTAGTTTGTTGAAAATGCTCTTCGTAACACACCGAGTCTCTCAACCACCACATAGAAGCACTGACTCACTTGACTGACATCAGTATTGAAAATCCGAATCTTGTTCACGCTTTATGCTGAGTGGAGTGCAGTGGAGTGTGGTAGATCTACACGCTGATTTCAGGTTAATGCAGGAAGGCCTATCTTGCTGTCTTTCCAATCCTAGCTTCGACATCCTCATCTGTGCCACCACCTGCAGTTGAAACGATGCCGTCTGGACAGGAAGGTGAAAGAGACTACTTCCCTTCCGTTTCTCCTGTTCATAGTGATTGATGCTTCTTCTTCTCCTTCTTATTCTTCTTCTCAATTGGTTATCTTCATCATCTCTGTCTTCTCGACGTTCACATGAGCAAGTTCCGTCTTCACTGCCCACCTCTTCTGCAAACTTGTTGATTTTCGCCTGTAGATCTTCCAGTTTGTGCGACAAAACATTAGACATAAGTCGGCATCGGCAAAATCCAATTATTCTCCTGGAATCCTTTCGTCGGTCGAGCCAGTGTATACCCATCTTCTCGCTCCTCACAGTTTGTCGCATGATACAGTCCAGTCCAGTCCAAGCCAGTCCAGTCCAGTCGAGTCGACCACAATCAGGAAGATCATTGGTGATATTAGGCGGCAAACTTGTCCTACTCCTTCCTGTCTTCACTTCGAAGGCGTCACTGAGCTTTCCATTGTGGATCACTTGGCGTGTGGCATCATATAGCATAGCGTATAGCTGTTGAATGAGGTCAGCCAAGCTTTGTGGCACTAAAACCGTAGTGTTGAACCAGCTGCTTGCCAAATTACTTCTCGGTCGACGCTTTCGAACGCCTTTTCAAAGTCGATGAAATTGAGGTAAAGATTCAGTTGACTGCCATTTTATGCTGTGTTCTATAATGCTGCCTAGTGGATGTTAGAGTTGTAATTTGATTCGTACATGATTTGTCCTTCCCGAAGCCAGCCTGCCAGCCTATTCGGGTAGTAATTTTGAATGCAGAGCATTATTTAGTCTTTCCAGGATGATGTGGTATAATATTTTGTTTGGGGTCGACATGAATGGAGCATGATTTCTTGCTTGTTTGGGAGTTTGACAAGGTAGCCCTTCTTCCAAGCCGTCGGCAGGTGCCTTTGCTTCCTTCATTCCAAACGTTCTGAAATAGTGGTGTCAGCATGTTTCTTTTGTCTCGCGTGTGTTTTTAGTGCTTCTGGTGGAATTCCACCGCGTCTTGGTGCTTTCCGTGATTTCAACAACTTTATGGCGATCAGGACTACACTTCTGCTTTCATCGGAGGGCTTGTTTACCCGTAATTTTTTGCCTGGTCTCCTGGTGGTATTTCTGGACCAGTTGCAGGTATTGGTGGTGGTCGATTGGAGAGTTTTTGAATTGGTCAGCCCATCGTTTCTTTTTGTTCTCCTCTTTGGTTATTAGGTTTCCTTCACTGTCTTCCACTGGTCTCATCTGCGTTGTTCTTCTCCCAGATAGTGACCTAGTTATCTCATATAGTGTTGTTATGTCTCTCCTTCACTTAACAATGTGTCCTAGAAGTGTCATTTGTGTTTGCGCGCACTCTTCTTCACTTCTTTTCCTCAGTGTAGTGTTTATACGTTGTGTTCAGTTTCTCTTTTTGTTGTTCATCCTTGCAATGGTTTATCTTCTGCTTCGCTATCTTCCTTAACCCCTTTAATCAGCTTCCATGTGTCCGAGAGGATCCATTCTTTGCCTGATATTGTTTCTTCTTTCTTCGCAACACGGCTAAGCAGGTTTCTTTCCACATCTTTTCCAATTAGTTCCAGTGTTCTTCCACGCAAATTTCTTCAAGGATACTACTCAATGTCTCCCATTTTTTCTTGTTGTCTGAGGTGATGTTCCTTAAACTTTCATCCTTCAGATTCTGTTCTGGATATTGAACTCGAACTGTGGTCTATCGTCAACTTCTTTGAAGGCTTTCAACTTGATTTTGAAGGTTTCTTGCACTAAATAGAAAGTGAGTGTTGTGAACCTACATCTGCTTCTCTTTGTAATCTGTTCTTGTGTCCAGTTGGCTGCGTCTCCACATTGTGCGGATATTCCAGTTTATTTTTTATATTTTTTTGTGCTTTGAAGTTCCTTTAGTGGTTAGATTGGTTTTACGTTTCAGGATTGCTAGCCGTATGCCCAACCTTCTCTCTTTATCCGGGCTTAGGACCGGCTAGTAAATAGTGAACTAGTAAACCAGGCGAGGCTGCTTAGTGGATGATGGAAAAGAGAAATTTAGAAGCAAAAAACTTTTCAAAGCTGTTCTTGATTTAAGCTTTCCTGTAAAATATCAAGATAACGCATTCCTTAGTTCATTTTATCTAGGATACAGACTAATAGCTCATCCTATCTTTTAGATTATTCTGAATAAATGTAATGTAATTCTACGGCTTTTACCACTTCTCACAAAAAGGGTGATTATGTAATTAAGCTTCTAATTCTTATTTCTTGGTCGAAAATGCAAGGAAATACTCCTGCAACTGAAATGCTATCCTGAGGTAATCAGGCAAAGTAGACAATTGAATTGTGATTCAATTAATTCAATGCTGTTGTTAGTTTATCTCACAGCACATCGCTAAAGAGGATAATGAGGAACACATAGCTTACATAATTATTCCAAGCTGTACACACCAAAGGAGAGAAAACTCATAACTTGTCTGAAGACTGATTTTATGTTTTTCAGGTCGGAAACCTAATACATTTCCTTCAGACTGCTGGAGTTACCAGTCATTTCGTGAACGATTAAACATATCTGGTAATTAAACCTTTCGGCGTGACTAATGTTATATTTTATACAAATTTATGAAGTATATTTTATCGGCTACTTAAAATGTCTTTAATTACATGAAGATAGTTTACTATGAGCCTGAACGGATACTTTGCTAACCTCTCTGCGGAAAAGGAATTTAGATCAAAAGCCCTTGAATAGTCACATTCATTTTACAAAGGACCTCACAATAAACATTCACAGTTGCAAACACTGAATAATTATTTCGTCGTTAAGCCTAACCACACAGAAAAGTACGCATGACAAGCTGCGATTGACTAGAGGAGAGAGGATATCGGAAGAATAATGAATTGCTTCAATTCCTCCCTTCTTACCTTTCGCTTCGAAATCTAAAAGGTTTTACATGTAATCCAGCAGCAGAAAATTACTGTGTTAAGCGTGAAACTGTGACTTACTTCATTGCTGTAGGTACAAATTTCAATATCTTCAATGTGCATCAGATCCATTGTGCTAACAAGCTGATTTAAAATGGAAATAAAAAAGTCAACTGAGAACATAGTTTATATTTGTATGAATCTCGGTGTCTAATATGAAATAATTCCGGCTTTCCACTTTGAAGTTTGGTCTTGAGGGAAATAACCAAAACTCAAACATCAAATATACACAAATGAGATTATCAACGTGTACATAGCTACCTACCACTGTCCAATCCTGTTTGTATAATCAATGCTTTCAAAGTATGGTTAGGATTCTGGAATTATGCGTATCTTGTTACTCAATGTATATATAACTATATACGTCGTTCTTGCTTGAGTATATGCTACAAAACAGCCACACATGAAATCGTAGTCACTAAGTAATCGTATGTGTATGTACAGTGGTGCATCATTATCGTCAGGTACGTCACAATGAAATGGTATTAGCTTTTGAGGCTTTGAAGATTTATGGACCCAGTGGCTCGATAGTGACGTGCTGGCTGCGCAACTTGAAGGTCCTGGGTTCGATCTCTGGCAGAGTCCCACACCAGAATGAAACGGCTATCCAGTGCCTCCAGGTATTCACTGTTTCTCTAACTGATGTCAGTTTATGATAAATACCAGCCTGAATGGGCATTATCTTGTCAGAACAAGGTAGAAATGAATATAGTGTTCAACGTCAAATAAATCCAACTTGTGCACCGCTGTTGATTTGAAGATTATGCTGATGAGGCTAATAGTGTAAGTAAATGCAGGAGTTATCTTTCCTACTTAATTCTTAAAAGTACTTAAAATGGAGTCGATTGTATTATCTCTTGTCTGAGGAAGCAATTACAACTTTTCCGTGCATTTATAACAAAGGCATTCACTTATTCTTGATATAACATAAGGCTTTTTTGTAGAACATTAGCTTAAAAACAATCAGTCATATCTCCCATTTCATACATATCATATCACACAAGAAACAAGAAACTTATTTCCTGAATAACGTTTTGGACTAAATTTATTGCCGAAATTCATACCAAAGTGAGGAAGGCTCCAAGTGACGATATAGTGTACACAGTTTTCATTTCCTCTCCCCTATCATCATATGGTTGTAAGAATTTTCCACAAATATGGAAGAGTTACTGAATTACTCCTAGTTCATATTTTAAATGTTAGTTCGGTCAACAGAGTTTTCGTTATAAAACTGCCATTCTGTTTTTCAAAATTTGATTTTGTATTTTCGAAACGATATATTGTATGATTATATAGAATCGCCTGCGTCGCAATAAGTGGGGTCAGCAACTAGGGTCATCATTCTGGATTTCATTAAGTTTATGAGCTCTGTTATTCTAAGTGGACATAGTCGATTGCCTTGATCGACAAACCTGATCTAGAAGCAGTTGCAGGGAATTAGATTAACTAAACTATTTTATCTAAATAGATCAAAAGGAGCATTAGGTCCACAAAGGTTGATCTTTAGTGAAATTTTAGATTTTCAAATCACTCTGATTCCTGCAGTCCTCACTATCCTGCATAGACTTTCAGAATTGCTTTCAATAAATATTTCACCGTGAAAGTTGTAATTTTTCTTTTATTAGTGCTGCTACTATTAGTATGTGTATTGCCTGCCTCAATCTTAATTACCACTTTTCAGAATTTCTAACAAATTATTGAATAGTTACATTTCTTGCATATGTTGTATTTCCTACCACCAACTTTTTCCCTTACAGCTCGGACATTTCACACAACCTGAAACACTATTGCAATGAACGAATTCTTCGCCAACGTCAACTTCGTGACCTTTATTTAAAACTGATCTCACGAAATTAGAAACCAAATTACAATAGGTCAGAACAACAGCTTTACTATTTATGAATTGGCCATTTTACTACTTCGTATTAGGAACTGCTTCTAGCCAGACCACAGATTCACCCCATTGCCTTATGTGCCAAGATACTGTAAATAAGCCCTACCTCATAATTGTGCAACTATTACAATATACTTCCAAGATGAGTACTCTAAGTAAGATCGTAGAAGTCGAAGTTAGTCTTCTCAAGAAAATGTTTATAAATGTCATAACCAGCAAAACATCTTTGACACAATTTTAAATGATTCTTATTGTTGTTCTGCTGTATGAATAGCTTTCTAGAATGATTTATCTGTCCAAAGGTTCACATTCTGTAGTTGACAACTTCAGTTTTATATCGAGCAGATATAATGAACAATGACTTCTTCAAAACAAGATGAATCATGAATAAATGTGGTACCACTACAAATTAGATGAAAATCAATAATTTCAAGTATAACTTTAAGTAACATTATAATTTTCAGTGCTTGGTATGTGGAAATGAAATAAAAGTTTCATTGCTTTCTGTACTTTACATGGCAATTGAAACTTATTTCACCCACATACATTAATCGGTAGGTAACCTTAAAATCTATGAGGTATTTACAAATTTTATGGATAATAATTTTGAAATGATTTGTTGCATATGAATCAAAGAAGTTATCGAATCAAAGAGCATATATGTTAACGTTCAAAATTGTTTTCAACGTGTGGTTGTGTCTAACTCTTTGTCGCTGTAAGATAGGTTGTAGTGGAGGATCCATTGTCTCAAAGGGCAGAATATATTACAAACATGTCAAACATGTGAAAGGTGTTACTGATAGTCTGCTCCTCCTATGTAAGAATTTGGCTGAAGTTGCAATCAAACCTTGGTCATACCGAGATGCGGACTTACGGATTCCAGGCAAGGCAACGCCACTCCACTGACGAGGATAAGTCGTGTAACTGCTCATCAGGTCTCACTGTCAGTTGAGAAATATGAAGATTGTGTGGAGAAGCAGCCTGTAGACGGTCAGTCCAATGGCTTCCAGAAAGCACTCCTACCAATATCATCCACACAAAATGCAACATTTCCTACTCGATGAAGTATTAGGATTTTCCAGACACACTACTGAACTACACGAGTAGTCAGAAACAACTCATCACGACGTGCACATTTTGCAAGCTCGATCAGAGTGATCTGAAAATCGGATTCCTTTTTCACTCGTTTGTAGTCGATACCATCAACGATATATCTGTACATATACGGCTCTCAAGACTGAATGGCTCAATTCAACTAAATCAAGATAGCTGACATGGCTTGGAAAATCCAACTGTGTCAGCTGAATTTTTCCAGGTACACCGCTAATGAACTCAACCATAATGAAGGGAAGCAGATTTTTGGTGTTCAGATCATACTGATCTGTCTCACAAAATATACGAATCGATGTGAGTTGTTTCTAACGAAGTATATTATTCTGTAGTATACTTCGTGGGTATGATCTTCGTTGTTGGTTCGTTTCCATCAGTAATCCTGTTGACACTACAGTAAAGCAGTTGAAAATCTACACAGCTGTAAATGCCAACGGACACCGAACAATTTATAAATAGCTCTCAAATGGATCATCCCTGACGCTATTCCGTTTTCAAGCTATTCGCAATGATAATTATCACTTAAATTCATGTTGCCTATAAAAAATAATGTTCCTGAAGTTAAGAAAACAAATATTAGGTTGCGTGTAGCCAATTTACTGAGAAGAGTTCATCATATTTCACTCCAACCACCAGACATAAAACAAATTCGTTTCCAATGTTTATTTTCATACTAAGACTGAAATAACATACCTGAATACAGGTTTTTCATTTTGTCAGTTTCCAATCAAAATACTGGTTGACCTCAAATTGCAAAATACTCGATTAACCAAGTAGCTAAGAACTTTCAATTCAGTGAAATGTTTGTGTGCGTTCCCTACTACCTTTGACGTGCGTCTGTCAAGTTAGTAGGACGATGAGTTTTTCTGTATGTTTATTTCCATCCAAAGTAATCAACCAGTTGTTGAATAGGTGATTGCACACAAGTTGTGCATAAACAGCATAAAGATGAAATTCTACCTCTGGTTCCAAATCTTACTTGCATGATGCATTCCAATCTTGAATGGAATAATTTAACTCAGTTGAATTATGAACTGTTTGCCTCATTGGTCTATGGCATACTTGTGTGTATGGAAAGGAGGACTCAGTGGAAGGATGAACCGCTTGATATCAAAAGCTTCATGATATTTCAAACACTGTATAACTTTATATATATATATATATATATATATATATATATATATATATATGTATATCTGAGTATGAATTTATTCATGATAAAGTCCTGTTTTGCATATCAGTGTCAAGAATAAGCCATTCGCTAATAAATACTTTCAGCGTTTACTACCGATTATTCACTTCTGAATGGCTCACTACAGGTAGTACAATTTTCACAACGAAAATATGAACTCAGAAATCACAACAGTTATCATTTTGCACCGATATGCAGCGTTCCTCCAAGTCTAACCACTGTTTCAATTCTCATAAATATAATATGGATGAAGACGTCCCACCACATGCCTATGAAGAATGTGATAATTTCTATCTGAATGCCAAGTGGTATTTCCAGAATGGAACGGGAACACAATAAGAGGTTAAGCAGACGTGTTCAGCTGAAGAAATGAGACTCTTCAAGAATGCAGGTTTGTCCACCCGGTACAGAGTGCAGTGTGGTACCAGTAAGTACTGGATTCTCTGCCGTTTATCATCAACCACCCGATGTCAAACGAAGTACTCCATATGGGAGAATTTCTAAGTTTGGTGACTAAATTACAGATTGATGGGGGAAATTTTAACAACGTTCGGTAACGTGATACTGGTGATGCTAAATTGCCTGATCAGCTGAGACTGGTATCTGAGAAAGAAAATTCATGCCTTAGTTAGTTTAGTAAACTTACATCTCTTTAGGACACGTAGTGTGCATGACGCTACTCTTATGATCGATATGAGAGGCGTTTAAGTGACGAAATGAAATTACTTTTATATTTGATCCAGTTTTTTTGACGACTATCAATAAAACTGGCTATCACCATTGAATGCTAACAATGGAAATGCTGATCCATGTTACAGATATAGTAACCCTAGCAAGTCGTGGACCGATTGGTGTGTTGTGACATGTAAGGATGGCCTTCATTAGTTGTTTTCTAAATTAATGCCTTTTTGTTTCCTAAGAGTTCTGTCTGTCAATTGATGAAATGTTCACGTGAATCCACAAAGTATATATATATATATATATATATATATATCTGCATTTGTGAAATCGTAGTTCTTCATGTCTACCCAAAGGCATAATATATTTACAAACGGATCAGTCCTTGTCATTCTTGGATGTTAAGCTTTATTTTAAAACTGTTACTTTTTCACTGGATTAATTAGGACATGTTATCTAAGGTTTCTGATACTAATAGTGTTGAATCCATGTAAGGCTATTCATCTCTATGTATGAAATCAATGTAAATGGATTTATAATAAATAATCGCTTCACATGACAAAGTTTGAAATAAGCCGCTAGTAGATATGTGCTTTCAGCATTTGTTAGCGATGTTTCATTTCCTGATGGTTAACTTTATCATGTAAAATTTTGGCATCAAATATATGGACTTGAAAATCAAAGCAGTCACACATCCAATGATTGAAGAATTGCTTGGGGTCTAATAACTGTTGTAATGATCGAAATAACCTACGACCTTTCTCACGAATAATATGATAATTTCGATGTGATTACTAAGCACATATTTACAAAATGAACGACGAACAGAATATGGGACCAATCCCAACAAGTCAATCCTAAAAGATTAGATCCTTCAGGGATGTTGATCTGTCTTCCCGCAAAGGTTCATAATGCGGACCAAGTGAATTCAGGGTTTTCTGCCACCTATTTTCAAACAGCCGATGTCAACGAAAGTATGTCGTGAGCCCGAATTTCTAAGTCTAGTAACTACACTGCAAGCTTATGGGGAACTTTGACAGCACTAGGTAACTTAATACTGGTTACACTTAGCTGGCCGATCGATTCAGAAAGGATTTTCATGCCTTAGGAATCTGGTAAATGGATTTATTTATATCTATTTACCACATTTTGTGTCCTGGTTGTGTTGTTTTCTTCAGGCTGTGTGGTTTAACGAGTCGCTTTTATTGTCTTTCTAGACAACATCATCAAAGCTAAGTTCAGTATGAAGTGAGCTGTCGATAATTGCCCGTAACTGATTCAACTGCTTGTCCTGTCAAACTGGTTTGTGATTGGTTGTTTCCTTTGATTGTGGTGTCACTGACTGCATAGATTTTCTCGTTGGCTGTTTTCCTGTCTAAACTCCGAAGTTTTAGTGTTTATCATTTTTCTTATTGGTCGGCAGATTGGGTCTGTGTCTACACATGTGTTGATTGCTGACTGACCTGAATGCTAAGCTAGCAGAAATTCTGCGATATTCCTTGTGTTTCCTCTGTCCAGGATTTTTACATTTTCAAAGTTAAATTCATGTCCATAGTTGTCCACGTGCATTGAAGTGAGCGACGAAATGTCATGACGTATAATAATAATAATTAGTACGAGTTTATCTAAATGAAGGCGAAATGGGTAACCACCCTGTACAATTAAGCTTTGATCACAATTATAGCATTTGATTTTATAAATGATCTTTGGTTTGTCTTCTTTGGCTGTTGCGTCCTTTTCGTGGGTAAGCATTCTTTTTTAGAATAGACATCAAATGTTAATCTTCGTTTCCCGTAAAGTTGTTGTACTGAAGCAGATTCTAGCTCTTTTGCAAAAAGTCTGTACGCAACTAAGTGTGTGCATCTTTGGGTTATTGCTACTGTAGTTGAGGGTTCGATCGGTGCGCACTGGCTTCCTATACACTTGGGTTTCCAGTTTTCCGGCAATGATTTTAGAGACCAAAGCATCCAGGATCGGCAGTTGGATGTTCGACCTCGTCTCCATTCCGAATCCGATGTCATGAGAAACGTTCTTTATCCAACTGTTAGTGTTTTTAAATCATTTTTTTAATGATAGCAAAGATATTGTCCACATAGCAGATCCAAATGTTTGCTTTGATCATAGGTAAAATGATGGTTCCCAGTCTCCTCATCTCTATTTCTGCAATTAGTCCAGTTATCGGTGATCCCAGTGGAGTTCCTTCTGATTGTTTGCATATCTTGCAATAAAATTGAAGGTATGTTGTCCGATCGATGAGCTCAATCAGACTGTATTATTTAACTTTTGTGCGTTCTGAAAAGCTCGTCTCCAGTGAGTAAGAAAGACATCGCTGTTTGATTGATGTGTTGTGACCTTTAATTTGACAAATTAGTTGCTTTCTAACTACAAACAAACAGAAAATGAGTAATTCTCAGTAGATCATTAGAAATTTTACATAGTCAGATGTACAACTCATGAATAATAGTCATGATAATTGAGTCAAATCAGTACCATGTGAAAATTTGATTTTCTCTGTAATTTTTTATAGTGTGAGTTAACTGTGAGTAAGGTGCTAGGTTGCAATTCCAAGTATGCTGGTTAACTAGAAGTACTACACAGTGAAACAGTATCATTTGCTACTTAATTGTATGGATAATATTAAAAATATTTGGCAAGGTTCTGCAGACATTCACTGGACCAAAATCGAAGCGACTTATCAAAAGATTGACAAAAATTCCATTTAAGACTGTGATAAATGAACAATTTGACCTGTTGGTGGCAGTTGAGCTATGTTTTTCCAAACTATATCATTAAATGATAAAAAACATGTCACCTACGTGCCTCAATCGAATGCTTGCAGTAGAATAGGGCTTCAATAATATGTTTTTCTTAATGAATGCGTGGAAATATTGGAGATCGCTTTAGTGTGTCATCTTTTTTTCTGTTCAAACCGCCTTGAAATGCGTAAGCTATTGACCATAAACAGTATCCCAGAGACATTAAAAGTTTCTTTGAATTGAGTGAGCATTGCAAATGAAAGTTCGTGTTGAACAATAGTGGTTAATAAGTAAGTAAGGGATTTGACAGGAATCCAAGTACCTAGGTTTCATGCCTGTTGCTGTTTGTCAACAAGGCTTTCCACAAACTCTATGGAACTGATGTCCCTACTTAAACTCCAGCCTGAGACCCAAACAACTCAGTAGTATCGTCTTTGACTTCAGCAATATATGACGCAGGCAGCACAGTGATTGCTAGAATTCGATCAACACTAAGGGCTAGATCAAATGCAGCTGTTTACCCTCCACGACCGCTCAGTTATAAAAAACGCTAATGTATCTTTGACAAATATGAATAACGTTTGAGTGTTATGTCCTCTGAGTTTCCTGATTAAAAAACCCCCAACTCTGAGAACACAACTTCAACAAAATTATTCTCTTGACGTGCAAATATTTTACATCATGTCAAGCTGAATAACTTTTGTAAAAGTTACCTCAGTAACAGCTTCAACTGCTCTTCGTGCTTGTTGTAAATTAAGTGACAGTCAGTTTACGAAAGGACTGGACGTTTTCGAATGCTTCTGACTGCTTATTTTAAAAAAATGAATCACTACGGGGTGTTTGGGGATTGTGGCTTGATCACATTTAAGTATGTATATCGCTATGTCTTTCAGCTTGTGCTTTGTCCGGTGACTTCTTAGAAATAATTGTGGAATACGATTTAAGTTAGGAAATGTAAAGGTTTGAAGTTCTCAAGAAATAAATTTAGAATTGATACTGTTTAGTGGATAATCACTGGATTAATGCCATAAGGTAAAATTTGTTCAGCAATACAAACATCTTTCGCAATGGATGTGTATTTTGCATCCTAATTTACCTATTAAAGTGTAAAGCAATATTTCACACTTCCATGCAGTTGACTGCTGTCTAACATTTCTAAATAGTGTTAATTTATTACTTCCGTTTTTTCAAGCTAAAATAACTTTTATTTGCTTACAACTGAAGTCGATATCTATTAACTGAATTCATGAGAATAAATAGTTCAACGATGAACAACACTCAGATGTACAGCTGTACACGCACAAACATACGCTAACATGCACAAGCACACTTAAAAATACTTCTATCCTTATTTAATCGTATTCCCTTTATTGGTCAAAAGTTCTAGATTTCGTTGATATAAAAGATAAAGACCACCTACCTTATGCTCCATGAATTCCAGTAAATAAAATATCCCCACAAATCAATTGTACGAGTACCTTTTGTTTTGTCATTTGTACGAGTAAATATTCTGTTTCCTGTAAAACGGATAATAAACAAAACTGTAATGTTATATAATAAATGCATTCTATTATTACAGCTTCTAAATTTATTCACCAAAAATTGTAATAAATATATGATAGATTGATATGATCGCAAGTTGATTTCATTTGGCGAATAGACAGAAACATTTTATTCTGTAGTGAGTCTTCTCATGGATGCACATCAGCGAATGCTCGAAATTAAATGCAAGAGTCTGAGACTATGTTGTGAATACCTGACTGCTTTGAGTAAGCGTCCATTTTCGTAACACTAATGTCAGGGCTTTTAAGATAGTTAGCTGACCACACAGATTTCGGACTTTTGCTAGTTACTTAGCTTATGTTAGAGAATAGCAGGTGGTTGCTAAAATTCAGGATGCTATGAAGGTTTTTTTACTTTGAAATAAGAACATGACTTATGAGCGAACAATATAGTTTTCAGTTAGATCCTCTTCAAGCTTCACTCTAATATAAATAGATAAATATATTTGGAAATCAAACCAATCAGGTAGATTTGTCCGTTAATGTGATGTTTTAAAATAACGATATATATATATATATATATATATATATATATATATATATATATATATATATATATATATATATATATGAACGAGTAGTTCAAACGCTTTTCGAAAGACTAAGTGATATGGGTGAATAATCCTGAAAGAACTTTTTATATACCTCCTGTCGCCACTTTAATATGTCTTTACAGTGACTTAATACAGCCTTCAGATTCCACCCTGCTGGTTACTCAGTTTCTCCGTGAATGAAGAAAGAGGTATTAGGACAGAAGGTATATTTACGTCAATGCCAACGTTGACAGCATATACAAAATACAAGGTTTATGCATATCACAATGGCCTAGGCTTTTCCCATAATTGTTGCCTTGAAAAATCAATCAAATTCAAGTCTAGTAATCCTGGAAATAGTCTGGGCCATTGTAATGCATAAACCTTGTATTTTCTATATATTGTTAACTTTGCCGCTAACGTTTTAAACAGACCCGTTCTGTTACTGCTTTTTCTATTTGTAGAGAAAATTAAGTGACCTGCAAGGGGTGGAAATCTGAAGGTATTTGCAAACGTCTTGACATTTACATAATTCATGCTCTATCAAGGCACTGTGTAGATTTGTAAAAGTGGCGAGTGGAGTTACATAAAATGATTGTTCTTACCTACCAAGCGACCAGTTCCGATGACGTGAGATAAAACAGAGCTTCTGATAGATTTGTCTGCCCCTTTCCAAACCATGAAAGTAGGCTATCATGAGTGCGTTTGTTAAGTTGTCTAGCAATACGCCTAAAATAGTTTTCTGCACATGAGCAGCTAAACTTGTAAATATACATGCAAATGACAAAACTAGATAACTTATCTTTCGTCCGAGCAAAAATAAATGGTCGGCTGGAAAATGATAGACAGAGTTGTGTGGCGTTGAAAGTCCTTTTAATGGCACTACAGAGCCTCTGTCTGGCATAAAACGTCTTTGGCTAAATCCTAATTAAGTTGCAATTTCATGAACAACTGTTTCTTCTGTACAGTAATAATTCAAAGTTTATCCCCCCTGGCTTCGTTCGTGTGTCTTTTTATTAAACTGTTAAGGTGGACTGTTTTGATGAATGAATTACGAATATATCCTAACTCAAACATTTTCTTCTTGCGCTGTTAACGAGTTACTGAACCAGGTTTGCTATGTACCGAATGAGTATGAGGCTAAAAAAATGGGTATACTGACCTATGGATAAGGTTTACAATCTAAGCATATCTGTTGAGTGGACCATCTTTTCTGCCTAGCAAGACCTTCAAAAAGTGCAGTTTGCTCGCATTTTCTTCTTCACAGCTTAAATCGATTGCACCTCATTAAAGTTTCTTGACACCTAGTTTCTATCCACATTCTGATACAGGATAGTGAATGCGTCATCAATATTACGGTGATACGTATTCATCTCACTAATGAAATCTTTCAGTACTCCCTTCTCCAGTTTGGTAAGAAATATATCAGCTAAAGTAGGGCCATGTGGAGGATCAGTGGCTATCCCTTCTACAATGTATAGTATTGAGGACAAAATATACATTTGTGATACATCTAAGGAGCAACTTTCTGAGGAATCTCGATAATTATTTCCCTTCCCGACAGTTGTTGACAAAAACTCTACAGTTTCTAATAATGACACAATGATGAGACATCAAAACAACATTATGTTTTTCGTTTACATTCACACTACTTAGTTTGGAAATAAATTCAAAAACGTCTTTTACACATTGGCCAATTAATCCTTTGCTTGAGGGATCTAAAATTCTTACTAGCTAGTTTTGAAATGCATTGTATGAGGAGTTGGACATGTCTAAAACTGGACGAAGAGGACGTCCAGGTTTGTCTACTTTAGGTATACCATATGCTGCAGTGTGTTACTCCATGTAAGTCTAGGTAAGTCGTACATGGACTTAGGAGTTGTCTCACTTTCTTTCAGTTCGTTGGGGGAACTTGTTCTCTGCTTCTAGGTTTTTCCATTTAGATCTAGTGAATCATTTAGTCTTCATAATTTTTCTTGATGATCCAGAAGAACAATAATTTTGTCAATGTAGTCAATTGTATCACACAACACTAAGACTGATCCTTTGTCCAGTCTATTTAGGATTAGATTTTCGTCTTTCCTCAGCTAAGATGAAACTTCTATGTGTAGTTTTGCAAGTAAACGTTTTGCGAAATGACTAGCATTTTTGTAATGTTAGCAACCACCAGCTAGCCTAGTCTTAAACCTCATTAGTTAATTGTCAGAAGACGGAAGCAGTCCCTTTGTTTGTGTAGCTTTTTGGATCCGAGTAGATATAGTTACCTTAGATTTGGTCCCACTCGATGTCCTTCTGTTCAACCTGGTCACTGTTTACTTATTACGTCTCTCGTATTTTCCATTCTTTGGTTCAATTATGCTTAGGACAACTTTCACTTACAATTTTAAAAATGGCAGAAAATAATGGAAAAATATTTGTTAGTTGCTAGGGTTTTGAAATTTTAAGTACTAAAAGTTCAATTTGACTTCGTATTCATTGACGTGAGTTATATTGAGATGAATAAAATATGAATTACACTTCATGCTACCCGTTCCTGTTTGGAAGGTTTATTAACCATTGCTTTTTCTTAAAAAAATTTGTTAATTTATGAAATTTGAAAGTAAACCAAGGGTAAGCACATGCCTCAACACAACATGGACGACCGCATAATATTCTGCCTAATTTAGATTTACTTGAGTATGAACGCGAATACATTCGAAGGTTGTACCGAACTAATGAATTGTGGTTGAGCGTCTCATCTAAATACTGGTTCTAGTTGATTACATTTACCTTGAAGCCATACAGAGACACATGCACGACACAAAATGAGACATCTGTTCATATCTGACAAGACAGAAAGTAATAATTTTTAGTTGACAGCGCAAACACTTGAGAAGGTTAGAAGTGATGAAAACTAAGTGGATTCAAAAGAACTATGGCTACTCTAACAGCTAATGAAATGATGAATTAGGTTTATATATTCTCTGAAAAAACTGCCTTCCTAACAGAAGTACAGAAATCGAATCGCTTATTTAAGTGATAGCTTTCAGAGTTACTCTAGATAACAGCATTGTCTCAGAATAGTTAATAGTTAAATAAGAGGCTTGGAAGCGTATTAAAGAATACTGGCTGCATGGCAAAAATATGAATGAATGCAATGATAAATGAAATAAGCTCAATTAGGAGAGGAAAACTAACTAGCCAAATGTGCGGAGTGATTTAATGCCCAGATAGGTTAGAAAGAATGAATGTAATTACGAAGCTTTTCATATACTACCGTGGCAGATTCAAGATTACCCGACAAGTTGTATCCCACGATTTTGCTCACTTTTACTATGGAAGCTAGTATTACTGGCAATATAGTATTTCTTCTGTATAGTTCTTTTAATTTTATATTTATTACCTCAAATGATTTGCATGATCGGATCCCATCTTCACTCTTAAAACAAAATGCTTTAGCCAGGTTACTAAAGATAAATTACTGAAACACATCAAGCTTTCTAGAAGAAATCAGCCTTCTGGAATCGGATACACGTTCATTCTCTGACATCCGGTCTATGTTATTAGAAAGGAGTTTATGTTCATAAAATTAGTTCACATCTTGCATGCCTTTATTACGATGCGTAGTTGTCAGGATGCACGATAATAATTAAGGACTTAGAGTCAAGGATTGAAACTGTTCAACTGGAGTGATTCGCACAGGGAAATAAAGACTTAGTCAATTCAGGTTATAATGTAGAGAACTGAGGAGGTTTATCGATAAAAACGGTAACCTTGAAAGCCTAGTAATAATTAGTACATCTAAAGAGGCAACAGCCAATCAAAACGCCAGCGGATTATATGAAATTTGGCTAACATGAAGGAAAAAAAGCTCGAAAAAAAACAGTTCACTATGTACAAACGGTAAGTATGAAATATAAATGTTATAAGCATCCCTAACAGCTTTGGTGTGAAATACTTCTGCTAATGTCCGTGTGGTATTTGAAGAACTGATAAACAGACTATACTGAAAGCGATGAATTCTTTGAATAATTTATAAAAACGGCAGAATCTTGACGGTTGGCTTATAATCAGTAAAATAAATCAACTTTAAAGCCTACTTTCAATATAACAATTATTAACTGTGAAGCTCAGTTGTGTAAGCTGATGAAGCAATAATAATATACTATTACTAATCTTCCAGTGAAAAGAAAGCTTAAACTATCTATCAACCATAGGAACTTCCTCAAAAAGCCTATTTGATGAAGCCGATATAATCAAGTAGTATTATGTCCTCCAGCGGTTGTCACAAGATAGAATAGGTGTCTCAAGAAATTAGCTAAAGATAGTGACCGGGGATGGTTTGAAAGCAGAAAGTTAATGAAATTCAGTAAATTGGATATCCCATTATGTTATTTGAAAATTTCTGTACCCTAGAATGTAATCAACTGGCTAGAAAGGATT